AATAATTGGCAACACATCTATAATTCCACATTTACGGTACAGCTTCACTTTCTGATCTCTTGAATCATCCTATTTCTGCTACATCAGTTGCACATTTTTAATGCTGAGCAATTATTTAATGAATTATTTCCTTTAGGAATTCAGAATCTAGAAAACTTCAAAAGAAACGTTTATTCGCGTAATGTCATGGAAAACGAACTTGATACTGTCGGTGACTTCCATTCGATATTACATTTTAATGCTGAGGTTTGAACGCTGATATTTATAGGCGTAGGGCGCGGGGGTGCGGAAAAATCTTGATACAGTGGTACATTGGGAGATCGTACTGGACGCAACGGTGGAGGTGGCATTCCTGGACCTGGAAAAAGATACTGCTATCACTGAATTCATGTTTCCTCTTTCTTTTTTAAGTACATTTTCATCCATTTTAATGTGCACACTATAAAATCACATTCATTCCTCTAAACAATTCATTTTTATATAGCCAGTGATTTTTGACTAATGTTCGTTTTGATTAAAAAAATTTCCGAAGCAAGCAACCCTCTAAGTTTAATGGGAAGATTGCAAAGCGAGTAAAATTATTACAGGAGGACTAAATACTATAAATATGGCATGACGACTTAATTTTACGCTGCGCAATGACAAATTATTCTATATAGTCGTAAAAAACCAACCGGCGTGAGGAGTCACAAGTTCAAGTGGTATTCGTGGAATACGAAATGGGGGTGGAATACCCATGCGTATCATATTTATATCTGGTTTCATAAATGGTGGTGGCATGTCCGATGGACGGGCATACGGAAATGGAAAGCGAGCAGGTCGACGTTGCCATGCCAGTACCGACCGGTATGCTGACTCAATTTCAGGATATGGAAAATCAGGTTCACTCCACATCCCAGCCTGAAGTGCAAAACATTGTCATGTACTACTCTATAGTTATTTTAAAATCAACAGCATAATGTCTATACACACACAAACCGTGAGCATTGCCTTGTTACACTGCAAACTGCGACTTGTGGCTTTCACCGCTTAGTGAGAAAGTAACAATGAGAAAAACAAAAGGGAATTACCCTTTTGTATTCCAACAATCAAAATGTCACCAGTCTGAAGAATGGTTAACGAGCGGTTAGGTCAGACGCACCCGCGAAGACCACACCAAATCTCGGAACCCTTCCCCACTTTCATCACTTTATTGCCTATCCACTTAACTTTCGGAACAGATTGCAAGAAATCGTTGCAAGATCTAAATTGTTTGTCATAGTTGAAATTTAATACTATCTCGTCATTGTTTTACTCAGTCCTCGTCGATTTATTTACGTGTTAGGAGAACTATAAACAAATAAGAAAGGATTTAAACGAACAGCCATAATAATAAAGTTTTTTCATTGATTTTCCAGCCCATCAATTTCAGAATCATCTAGGGTTTTTGCGCTCTTCTACCGGATGGCGCATAATTTGCGTTTAATTAGGAGTTAAAATAACTTCAGAAGGGCAAGAAACAGAAGATAAAAACAGCTGGAATCTCTTCAGAATTACTCCATAGAAGTTGAACAACAGAAGAAAACTTTTTAATTGAAAAGTACTGAAATAAACACATCATTTCTCCTGCGTATTATATAGCAGGTATTGGAGCGGTTTTTTCTCCTCAACCTACTATTGAATATTAGCAGTTCGAATAGTGAAAATAATGCATAATGGTAATCATAACATCAGTAGTTGGATTTTGTTGGTATTACAAGATTGCTCATCGGGATGTTTTCTATTTTCTACAACAGTTACTAGTATTGTTATGGAAAGGATTGTTGCTGGGAGGATAATTACTCCGATGTCAAGTATTAGAATAAAAAACAATTTAACATTTTTAAAGGAATCTTTTCCGGACGATATAGAAACAATGACGGTTTGTTTCTATGTCGATATTTGTTTTTATGTTTCTATATCAGCGGAAATGACATATGTGAAAATGAGTAGTGTAGCAGAAACTCTAATTTGGCAGATGTAGAAAATTTGGGTAGTGTAAAAATATTAAAGTAAAGATGAAAAGAAATTAAGAGACGAAATATGGAGAAATATTGTTAACTTTCGATGGGAAGGCTAAATTATGGGTGACTGTCACAATAAAGATAACTTCGATAACTTCTTCAGACCAATTTAATATGGAAATAAGTTTGGAAACCGTAAATGATTCATTTACAATAATTTCTACTGAAGTACGACGTCTTCAGACAACCATTTAATTCCTTTAAGTCGCTCGTCGTTGTTGAATATTAAACAGCACCCATTCACGGTAATTTTAGCCGTTGATGACCATTAATTTTTCTTGATTACTTTCCATCATTACTGATTACTTTTATTCCTTTTGAAATGCGATAATATTTAGAAAGCCGAAAGCTACAATCATTTTTGGAGCTCAGAATCGTCAAAAAATTGATGAAAATCCAAATGATGCGAGCATACATCAATGCAAAGAAACGTGACGTTTATGTCTTTTCGAAATCTATTACGACTATGAAAGCGGCGAATATTTTTTTGTTTTCAACAGTGATTGCCATTCGTGTACAAACTTTTGTACTCATGACAAAGAATTATTACACGCGTTTCACCTTCATATTACTGCTAAATAACAACTTTATTCTCTTTATAAATAAGTGATGATTCACATTTCATGAAATGACTGGATTATTTCATTTAATATTCGATATTTTGCAAGATTTTTGCGTGGGACCCCGCAATCCATCTCTATTTCCATGAAAAGCTTTTCTTTCCAAGTTTTCCTTAAAACATAACGAAATTCCTATGTAATTTAATTCCTTAATAATTTAATAAATTTAATAAATTTTTTAATTTTAATTCTTAATAAATTTAATTTCTTAATAATCGTTATGTAAAATTGCCAAGAATATCCAGTAATCTAGTGTAGAATAGTTCAATAATATTCATCCTTAAAATAATTTTAATCTATTGGTTCCTTAGGCTGTCAGTCACTCTAATTATCTGGTTTTCGAGCGCGCGGCCGGCTGAGCGCATAACTGGTATTATCGGTTAATTTCTGAAACAAGTATACATGATGTCTACGGCAGATATGATTAGTTTTTTAAATATAATTTAAACATTTACGTGTCATAATCAGTAAACATTATTGCACTGTAGCTTTTAAATAAAACGGAACAAAAACAACCATTTCCTACCCAATATTAATTCATTATATTTGTAATTCGATATTAAGACAAAGAATCTTATTAAAGTCTCCGTTTTGACGGTTAAAACTTAGTGTAACCAGTGATTTTTGCTATTTGTGCAAAGGCAATTTTCATCTCATCCGAGCGCTTTCAAGTTTTAGCAAGCTTTCACATATATGTTTATGTCTGTAGTTTGTCCTGTCATGATACTTCCTAGATCTTTTCACTGAAAATGGCTTCTGTCTCTCTAATAATTTTTGTGAATTTTATCACCGTCGTATAATTTATATCTTACTGTGAAGAAAATTTTGATATCTGAATTACTTTGTCGAAATATCTTTGGAAAACCATATTTTCTAAATTTGAAAATTCAGCAAACGCGTACTCATCGCAATCTGTTAAGTCTGTTGGATTTTGTTGTCTTCCTCTCCTTTATTCCACTTCCAGTAATTGGACATCAAACATGTATCTGTCGATCAGTTCAATAGATTTATTTCAAGGATTTTGGCCACACAAAACCAAAATTATCTGTTTGGGATTTCTAACAGAGGAGCTAGTATTATGATTGGTAATTATTTTGCGTAATGCACTCGAAAAACAGCAGGATCAAGATGGACGTATTTCTCATATATTCATTAATTTGACACTTCAGATACAAATAATTTTTAAAGTTTTGTGTTTCCAAACCAGTGACATGATATTTGTTCAGGTAAATTCATAACATATAAATTTCAAAGGCTTCAGATTATTCACAACTCATTTCTTTCTCGATATTTCATTTTATGATAACTGTAAAATACAAATCGCAATGCGCAATGCAAAAGATCGAATGAACCTGATTTTGGTGAAAGCTGTTTGGCACTGCCTAAGCCATTCTAAGTTAAATTTTGTCGAGCATATTGTTGTGGGGGCTATATCCCTCGTAAACATATTCGCCCGTATGTAACTATTGGCTCGAAAATTGTCATCGTCACCCGAATATATATTGTTACATCCTGTCACGTTAATATGAGATGTCACACTTGAAGAAATAGTCCAGATCCTATCGACAATGTTCCCGCGTAAGCGTTGCTCTCCAACTTCGTTGTAACTGCTCGAATTGAAGAAACTCAACTAGAAGTTGCACATCATAGGGGGAAGAAATGAAATGTAAATGCCATTACTTTCAACAAACATCATTTATAAAGGATCAATTCAAACATCTCTGAAATGTGACAGTAAGATGGCCGAATCTTCCTTCACTACCCATTCCATCAGTGATGCCGTCGTGCCTGCCTCAATCTAAACCAACAAATCAAATCACATAAAAGACTAAGCTGCTTTTGATCTTATCGAGCTATTTACATATGCAAATGTCTTAGAAGGTACGCACCTTATTGAATAACCAGTATTTTATCTCGAAGAACATCCGTCTCATCCAAATCAGGAAGCTTCCAAAGAAACCTAAGCGTCGTAAAAAATGCGAAGTGAATTGGAATCCATTATCCTAATCCCAACATTTTTGAAAAATCTCACCGTTACCTCACCCTTACCATCGATGACCATTTACTCCAAATTGCCGGACCTTATTTTAAACCAGGTCAACTACACCCCATGTCAAATTAGCGCTCGCCACCACGAATAAATTTTCAAAGAGGGTCGATGTAGTATCATTCGAGTGACCGAATTTTCTCCACAAGTCGCAATCGATTACGTGTGTATGACATTCAGCCTAAATCTGCTCTCCTGTTTGTGAGAAAGTTTATAGATGTGTGGGTGGGGTGGGTGAGGTGAGGGTTGTCGTGGGTGGTCCGTTATTTGTGGTTGGGTGGGTATGATGGGATGGGGGTGAATGTTATGATCCGCATGATCTTTGTCCGTAATTGTTGGAACGCTGAAGAAGCAGTGATCAAGAAGTGTAGTCTTTATTGTGGCTGTGCATCCCCCTCACCACTGATGGCCACTACTGATGGCGCTAAGTTTGGACAAGCTAAATTGGTGGCTTGGTGTATGTCTCCTCAATTGAGACTATTTGAAGACTATTGTAAGAAAGCAGGCTAGAATTCTTTGATCAAAAATGAAGGCAGTGTGACATAGCTTTTTCCATCATAACAGTACAGAAATCGTACAGGACTTACATTTCTTATCATTGCTGACATTCCTCCGCAAAGTTTTAAGGCTTCATGTTTTATGTTGTAATGTAGCAGTGAGTGTTTGCTTAAGATGTGAATGATCAGACTGTGGCACCTCTTCAGACTGAATTTAAGGTGTTATAATATCAGTTATAAATATTTGGACTGATTTAGTGTTTGCTTTTTACGCATGGATTGCTTCATATGTGTTTAAGAAATGTCGTAAGTTCTGGTCTCGCATTTCCGATATTTCATTTTCATTCATGAAAGAAGGCTTTTGATTTCAAAAAAAGGTTGCATGAACCGTAATATTGGGTGACAAGTGATGAATTTTCGTTTATTTGTCTTTGCAGAGGTAGAGAAGTTCGGAAAAGACCTCGGAGTGGTACGTTTGGGTTGGTGCCTCGGTTGCTGGATAGATTGCGCCCGGGTGTATATTGGTCTGGTACGTTAATCTTGTATCATGACATTACTGATGTTACAGTGCGCCGTTTTACTTATGTAGGAATCTTTTCAAAAAAAATGTATTTTTCCCATCATCAAGTAATTCATTACATATTGTAACTTTTGATAACAGATTTTTTATCATACGACACATAAATGCTACGTTTGTGATAGTGATTTTGATTCTGGGAAATACATCCGTTTATTGAATCGTAAGATCGATAGAGTCGTACTTTAATGTGTATCCTGGCATAGCGACTGCGTGCTGTAGTCTGCTAGAGGTAGCTAGTAATGCTAGTGCTCAAGTTTACTTTAGTGGCTGCTATTCCATAATTTTCGTTTGTTACTCAAAAAATTGTACCTTAACCGCTGTACCACTTAGTCCTAGAAGCAGTAATTTCCTTCAGTCATTTATGGTTTTTTCTGTCATTTTACTGTGCTGCTAGTGTTAGTAGATATCGTAAAATTGTTTTTCAATCTCCATGTATATGTTATCAATTTTTAGAGTATTTGTTATAGTTATCATCTTGTTAATTGGCGATGTCAGACGGTAGCAGTGATGATCGGCATCCTCCACATGGAGAGCAAGAACTTGCAAGCAAAATGCTACAGGTGCAGAGTAAACGATTTTATGTTGATGTCAAGCAGAATAACCGAGGTCGTTTTATCAAACTTGCGGAAGTAAGTTTGTTTATGGAAATTGAATCAACAGATTAAATTATTTGGGAAGAATTTCGAAGAGGCTATGATTATTGCCAGCTTATCATGTCTTCGTGAGAGAAAAGGAATTGGAGTACTATATTTCCTGATTTAATTCAAACTTTTGTTGATATGTTCCAGTAACTGTTAGTTGGGATTGATCTCATTCAAGTGCATGTTGTTTTAGTTTTCAGCACATTTTATAAAATAATCTAATTCAGGTTGGCTTGGGAGGGCGAAAAAGCCGATTGATACTGTCAATGAGCGCAGCAGTTGCGTTTCGTGATCATCTTGATAAATTTGTCAAGTTCTTTGATGGCCTCGGTATTTTATAATTTTCGGTCCACGTTAATTTTTTTCTCAGCGAGAGTTTTCCTTAAATTTTTTCAAAAAAGAATTGGAGTTGAATTATTACATGTTGCAGCTTCTGGCGAGGAGCCGGTTGTGGGTGAAAATGGACAACTGAAATCAGAAATAATCGTCCATGAGTCGCGTCGATATTATCTTAGTCTGAAAGAAAACCAAAGGGGGCGTTATTTACGTGTCTCCCAAAGAGTTTCACGAGGTAACTCAGGTCCTCGTTCACAAGTACGTTTTCTAAATGTGTACGTTAAAATTTGAAGCCAACAAAGTTATGGTGAAATGAACACTGATGACTGTTTTGTTCAAATATGTTTGTAGATAGCAATACCTGCACCTGGCATGACTCAGCTGCGCGATGCACTGAATGAATTGATTGATAAGTACGCAGAAGGATATCTTAATGAAGTAAGTTATTAAATTTCGTTGTAATTAAAAGAAAGAAAGTTTTGAGAATTCCGCAGTTTCTTTCGGGGCTCATGTATTTATTACAAACTGTGTTTACAGAATGATGCGAACGTAGAGTTGCCCGAGCCGAAACATGTGCGTGCTGAAAATAATAAAATTTTCTATTTCGATGTTGGGCATAATGAGCGCGGCACTTTTGTACGTATATCCGAGGTATGTTCTTTTGTTTGCTTTTTTTCTTGTGTTTAGCCGTCATTAATCCAATTCTCCAGATTCTGAACCTTGAGAATTAAGTGTTGTCGTAAATTTTTAAGTGCATTGCTGAGCTTCTTATGCTTCTGATGTCGGATCTTACAACTTGTGTTGTTCAGGTTAAGCAGATTTCTGGAAGTCGCTCTTCAATCGCAGTACCGATGAGCTCTTGGGGAGCTTTTCGAGATGTTCTAGCAGAACTGCAAGAAAAAATGTTGATTGCAAAAAGTGCCGAAAATGCTGAAGGGACGACTAAAGCGGATGTTAAGCTGGAGCATAATAAAGAATGAGTATTTTTATGTTTCGAACTATGACAAAGTTTGTAACGTTTGAATTGTTGAGATCCTTCTGCCTACTGCTGTAATCATTTTGTTCCGTACACTCAGCTTAGGAGTACTAAAAATACTATTTCAAAAAACCTGTTACACTTGGTTTGCAGAGTCTCGCATCGATCAGAATTCTGATGTGTTAAGTGAATCAGCCACTTTATTTTGGGTTCACGTTGTTAGTCCCCACCACTCACTCATTCCTAATTCTTTTTTTGTTTCATTTTCGTTTGCAGATATCAATCATTATAAAGTACCTCAATAATAACAAGTTTGGATTTTCCTCATGCTACTTCATAAAATTTAATTCGGCTAAATTTCCTGCACTTTGTGGTTTCTTGCTGTTAATTGTAGTTAATAACTAATTGCTTCCTAAACATTTTGCTATTAATTTAATGCATTAGGTGCGCGGTCCTGTGGATTTTGTAGTTTAGTAACCGTCTTATATTTTCCCAATATTTTCATTTATTGCAAACACCGTCGTTGTTGTTGTTATTCATATGGTCTCTCTCTCTCTCTCTTTCTCTCTCTCTCTCTCGATATTTTTATCATGACCTCTTTTAGCAGCAGATTCTTATTCGCTATTAGTGTCTTCGTTCTCGGGGTCATAATAAACCCGTCTTGAAAGAAGTGGTTGGCGTTTTATTATTGTTTTTCTAGTTATGTAACAGTACTGTGAACAGACTGTTATAATCTTGAAATTTGTTTAGTCTGAAAATGATGCGCATGCGAGTGGGCATATCCATCCACATGCATATTCATGCATGTTCCGTTTCGAGAAGCGGGCTCTTTTAATATAACGTACTGATTGTATTTGGAAAAAAAAAAGTTTTATTGAATTTGTGTTTGTGCAGTATGTTTTTGTAGATGTCCTGATTGAGTAGTTTCATATGGAAATTTGATCTGTGAAGTCTTTTTCAATGGTTTTCTTTTGATACTCCAATGTTTACCGATCCTTCACAGACAACAGCTGCAATGCAGTAATTGTACTAAGTGGATAGATTTCAATTTGGAAATTTTGTGATCTTGAAAATAAAGATATTATTGATTTTATCGTATTTAGTGGTATATCTGTACAATTTTCGGTGATATTTTAAGTGGATGGTCATATGGTTTGGACATAGTCTTTCGGTATGCTTCTACTTTTCCGTTACTAATATGTGACGTGCGTCGGTCGACAAAACTATTGAATTTTATTTATTATGTGACACGATTTGAGTTTCATACCTTTGTTTTGGGGACTGGCTGGTTGGTTTGTTAAGGGAAAACCAGGTGAAATTTGTATCGCTGTAGAAGAGTTGCCTGGTATTTGGGCTTTCGGGCGGCATCAATAGGAGTAATGCAAGTTTGCAATCGTTAACAGTGTTTCGCTTTACTAGCTCGAAAAGAATCATTGGAACATTTTGATTGGCACTGAACTGTGGATAGGTTTTTCACAAGTGATACTTTCTTATGCGACAAATTACATCCGAAAAGCCTGTTAGCTCCCACACTGTATGTGATTGTGATTTTGAGTTTAGTAGGTGGATGTTTGAACATTTTAGCTGCAAATGTAGTATGAAGTGGTTTGAAAATAATCTGGAGGGTTGTAGGCAGATCATTGTCCCATCTCTCTATGACTCTTATTGACACTATAATTGACTAAAACTACTGTAATAATACCTTCGTTCGGTATCCATCTCTGGTCACTGTTGTGTTTTTGTAACGCTACTTATCTGGGGATACAAGTGCCGGTTCTATAAAGAACACGTCGTTCTTTTTCTTATCAGGGTGATGGTGAGGTCAATCTGTGATCGTTTACCCTCTTGGACATCTCATGGTGGTGTGAATCATTCCTCTACTTGTGTATAAAAACGATGGGTGTTTGTTGTATTTTTTGGAGTTAACTGTGCCTAAAAAGCGAAGTCATTTGAGTTGCGAGTGTCGTTGCTCGTTGTTGGGCAGTAAGCACCTTGCCGTTCACTTTATTGTTGGGTTTTTCAGTAGTGTTGTGTGGGAAGAGCAATGCAAATTGCTACTCTTCTTGGTTAGACTGTTTCCCAATGCTGCTGAGATATTTCTCTGAACTGTCCTATCTCCACTTCACTTCATGTACCTTTAAATGTATGCTTCCTCGAGTCACATATTCTTCATATGATAGTAATCTCTTCATCTGTTCACTGAAGATCTGGTGAAGGAGCCATTTGTGTGTTACCACTTCCTCTGCTAGTATAGTGCTCGCATTAAGAGAGGTGTGTATACATACTGGTAGTATAGGCCGTAAGAAACCTCAACTAGGAGTCGTTGGTTGGTAGAGAGGAAGTGAGGTTTGTCGCAGGCGCAATGGGCGTTAAAGGGATAGTCGCCGCCTTATTCCCCTTCTCGTTTCTGAATGGTTGCTAGGAACCTTAAGTGAACCTTACATCATTGCATAGAGTTCAGCGTGCAGGTCAAAGAGGGCGGAGTGATTGTTTTCACTGTGGTCAGCATGACATTCGTCTTCTGATCTCTCTGTGTGACTCATCCATTCATTGATCGTCACGGGCAAGAGGAGCAAGGAAGGACAGATAGAGAGGTTTTTTCCGTCGTCAGCGATAGCAGTGTAGGTCAGACATCAACAGTGTTGTGTTGGTAGTAGGTCAGGGAGGATGGAGATAGTGTTCGGTTCTCTGCTGTTTCAGTTAACTGTGAGATGTGCATTAGGGTACACTGTCAAGCCATTCAAAAGGATGCATTCCCGCTATACTATTATTCTTTTTTTCAAGGTTACTTCCGTTGCTCGGTTAGGATTCCTATTTTATAAGGCATGAGTGATGATTTGATGTGCATCAGGAAAAGCATCTCTCTCTTCCGTGTAGGTGCAACAATCTTAGTATTTTCAAAATACAAGAATTGCGAAACAGTACCGGTTCAAGCCCATCAGTCCTTGTTCTCTGATGCCATTGCATTGTCTAGATGTTGAGGATAAAATGTAGTACTATTGCCGGTTGGAAAGACCGAGTTTGCCTTCATCGATTCTGGTTTGATCTTGAAGTTTTTGTTACCATGCGAATTATTTTCATAATGGGAGGTTCTCAACAACGATCTCTATGTTATGCGTGAAAATACCGGTAGGCATTAAATAGGCTCTCATTGTTTCTTGATGCTGTTGTAAAGAGGAAAATGTTTAACGAAAGCGGTATAGTGCAAGGATAAGTCAGTTATGTCGATCCTGGAAAAGACATCTGGTGAGAGAATGAAATAGTTAGGAATGGACATCTTTTTATCACAAATATTGATCATAAGATTTCAAAAACATTTGACACTGCGATCAGACGGAATTTTTCAATGATAAAGTAGAGTCAAGTAGGAGGAGATAAAGGTGAGAAATCCACAATTTGTTAAACATTGAGGCTTCTCTGGTTCTTTTCGCGGTACTCGATGAAATGTTGAAAACGGGAGTTGATATGAGACCTTTAGGACCAACTGCAAATCCTTTATACATTGGGAGATAACCACGATGATGAAAACCATTCTAAATCTGGAAATTTATAAAACGTTTTAATTTAGCAAGTCTTTGGACAAGGTTTCTTTTGTCATGTTCGATATTTAGGTTAATTTTTTCATGTTTTTGTCATTCAGTGCATCTATTTCAGATCGATCCTCTCCAGAACTTCTCGGGTTTTAACGTAAGCATGGTATGTTTTTTTTCATCACGTGGAATATATCATGTATTTGTGTTCTTTCACATTAATAGTTGCAAAACACAAAAAACTAAAGTAGGCATGTTTCCTTATTTGTATGATATCTGTTCTTGACCTTGAAGTGTTATGGTAACAAGATAAAATTCATTCAAAACTTACTTTATCAATCAAGTATACAACTATACATGTCTAGTTGTTGCGACCTATTAGTGAAAATGAATTTTTTATCTCCAACTTTTTTATCTTTTTATCTCTATTTCTTTTAGCGCGAGGTGATATCAGTACACGTTGGTCAAGCTGGTGTTCAAATTGGAAATGCCTGTTGGGAATTGTTTTGTTTGGAGCATGGAATTCAACCTGATGGACGTATGCCATCGGATAAACAAAGTCAGATTGATGACTCATTCTCAACATTCTTCTCAGAGACGGGCACTGGTCGTCATGTTCCACGGGCAATTATGGTTGATCTGGAACCAACTGTAGTTGGTGTGTAATAATTAATTTGCACTAATCTTAATCAAAAGTGCCAGTTATTGGTATCCAATATCCTATCCCTCTGATTTTCTTTCTTGGCAAGTGAAGCGAAGTTCCTGTGAATGAAATGTGAAGTTTAGATGAAATTAGAACCGGAACATACAAGCAACTTTTTCACCCTGAACAGATGGTCACTGGTAAGGAAGATGCTGCGAACAATTATGCACGAGGACATTACACAATTGGAAAGGAAGTAATTGATTTGGTACTTGATCGCATTCGGCGTTTGGCTGAGAATTGCACTGGTTTACAGGGTAGGATCATTATATCCTATTTAAAGCATTGTTTGTAAGAAATATATGTGATAGGGTATTTGGATTTCTATTAACATAGTATTTAGGTTTCCTGATTTTCCACTCGTTCGGTGGTGGAACTGGTTCAGGTTTCACATCGTTGTTGATGGAACGGTTATCTGTGGACTACGGCAAAAAGAGTAAATTGGAATTCTCGATATATCCGGCTCCGCAAGTTTCTACTGCTGTTGTGGAACCATACAATTCTATACTTACGACTCATACTACTCTTGAGCATTCTGATTGCGCTTTTATGGTTGACAACGAAGCTATTTATGATATTTGCCGTCGCAATCTGGATGTTGAAAGACCTTCGTACACAAATCTTAATCGGCTCATTTCTCAGGTTTGTAGAACTGTAGTCATATTTGTAATATATAATTACACTCAAATCAACGTTGGTTTTATTGTTGGTCATTTCACAGTTGATTCGTTCAACGTTTGAAGCTTGCGGTATATTATAATAGTACAGAGGTCTTATAAAGTGTAATTCAACTTTGATTACATCATGGTTGATAGACAATACATCACCATTTCAAAAAAAAAAAGCTTGAGATGCTTTTTTCATGAAAATAAGCTTAATCAAAAACTTTTGAGGTAGGAGGGGATAAGTTACTAGTGCATTTTATATGCATTCATAATCAGTAGATCGAAGTATTGCAGGTTGTTTCGTCAATAACTGCCTCTCTTCGGTTCGATGGTGCCCTGAACGTGGATCTGACAGAATTCCAAACAAATTTAGTACCTTATCCTCGTATTCATTTCCCTTTGGCCACTTATGCACCTGTTATATCCGCGGAAAAAGCGTACCATGAGTCGTTGTCAGTAGCAGACATCACAAATGCATGTTTTGAACCAGCTAATCAAATGGTTAAAGTAAGTATTTCTTGATGATTAAAGAGATTTTTTTTTTCTTTTTCGTCGACATCAGAGAAAAGAGATGTTACCGAAAGGAATTCCTTTATCATTTTCAGCAGGAAGTTATTGCAGTGATTTTTGCGCAGCACTTCTGCTCACTTTTGCTTAAAGATTTATTTTGTAACACGTATTTGTGAAAGCAATGAATATGGGTTAAACAGGAAGGGAAGAGGAAGAAGGTAGGAAAAGGAGGAGGTATTATGGCTAAGATAACTTAATGACGATCATAGTAACACTATTGAATGTTGGGTTAGTACATTTCATCCGATTATTATATGTAATATTAAATGAAATCTGTGTGCTTTTTACAGCCTTAGAATATAACGTTTAAAAATTTATAAGATTTAGCTGGTGATAAGATTAACGCTGTTATACTTGAGGCTAAAAAATGTGTTTTGTATATGTCCATGTGCGAAAGAGATAAAGAGAGAAGGGCACTGGCAGGTACAACAAGATTTTAAAACATCAATCTTCCAGTGTGATCCTCGACATGGGAAATATATGGCAGTATGCCTTCTTTACCGTGGTGATGTCGTACCGAAGGATGTGAATGCCTCTATCGCCAGCATTAAGACAAAGCGTACCATTCAGTTTGTTGATTGGTGTCCAACAGGTTTCAAAGTATGCTTTTGATTTTACGACTGAAACTTGAATTACCTTGATTGATATAGAATGCTTCTTTTTGCTGTTTACATGAATCCTAGTAGTGTATTCTTTAGGTTGGTATAAATTACCAGCCACCTACAGTTGTTCCTGGAGGTGATCTGGCGAAGGTACCTCGCGCTGTTTGTATGCTTGCGAATACAACAGCAATTGCGGAAGCATGGGCAAGGCTTGATAACAAATTTGATTTAATGTATGCGAAGAGAGCTTTTGTGCACTGGTACGTCGGAGAAGGTATGGAGGAGGGAGAGTTTTCAGAAGCGCGAGAAGATCTGGCAGCCCTCGAGAAAGACTATGAAGAGGTTTAAATATTCGAATCATTTGGTTTTTTATATGAATATGTTACTGTTATTGAAAGCATGTGTTGGCTCTTCTGAAGTTTTTGATTCCATATTTTATTTCTGGTTCTTAATGGACTTTTTAGAAAGTACTTATTCCTTTTTGAAGGTCGGAATTGATTCGTTGGAAGGTGAAGGTGAAGGCGAAGGCGAAGAATACTGATATTCAGTTGAACTTGTTTGTAGCAAATCGTAACATTTTGTTGCTTGTTTCTTTTTTGATCCTTCTCTTTTGAATTTTATCTCCAAATTAAGAATGATTTTTTCTGTTTACTCCTAAGCAGAATTGTCCTCTGATGTGTTTCGTTTTTAACAATAAATGATATAAAAAACTTACCAGTTCCCACTTACTTTTGTCATACGCAAAGTATGGCTTATGCTAGATTTATAGGTTTTATGCGTTTTTCATTCTCCGTTTCGTTGTGACATTTCTAGCTTGTGATGCTGTTTTAAAAATGTCCTATAAGCTAGTACGATTAAGCAAGAAAAGTTGTAGACTGAAAGAAAGAAGTGGTATCACTAATGCGGATCATTAACGGTTTAAAATTCGATAATTTCACTGGAATTTACTATAAGGGGGAATTTCCTTTGGGAGTAAGGTTTATGGTGAATTGGTCTAGTCATCTGATTTATGGATCAAAGAGGAGGTAGAGTTTTTGGTCTTTCGTCATAGTTCGCTGGAAAGAAGTGCGGATTTCAGGCAGTACAATGTGGTTTACTCTTGTTCGTCACTTTCACATTGTACCAGCTTTAGATGCAACAGGATGGCGGTGGTTCCCCGCAATTTAAGTGCTTGAGGGCCTCAGCGAACAAACAATTACCGACGCGAACGGGGTGAAAGTTTTTAATTAGGGCTCGAATAGAGGGGAAAAGTGGGAGGTAGGTGATGCTTCCCTACAATCATCTGAAACTTTAAGAATGTAAATCGTGAATGTCGTACTGTTGAGTCGCTTGGTGAGCAGACAATTTCCTTGCAGGTCAGATGTGCATAAGCCGCAGGCTGGTACGATCTCTCGTTACATGTACATCGAGGACAATCAATTAGTGCAGTTCTTGTGGAAATTCTTGATTATATGTCGGACGTTGTTGTCCCGAACGGTTCATTAATTGGGTAGCATAGGTCAGAGATTGAGATACGGACTAAAACATTTTATTACATAAAATTATAACAAGTTGAGTAGGTGTGAATTCTTCGTAAATTCATTTTGTCCTTTACCTTTTTGCTACTCTTTGTGTTCTCACATTGTTGGGGATTTTTAAATGCTTCATCGTGCAGCGGGCAAGTGTGCAGTTTTAATGGTCGTAGAAGCCGCTTTTAATGTTATTACACCCGGGGATTTGTAAGTTTCACACGGGGATTTAATGGTAAACGTGTTTTGTACGTTGAAAATCCACTTAAATTAAATGGACGAGAATAGTTTGCTGAATGTGTTATAAATTATCCAGCATGCTTAGTACTCAATTTATCAAGAAAGGTCTTTAGGACGCATAAACTTGTTTAACAAGCAATATTGATTGTTCTTTCTTTGTTGAGGATAGAAGTGTTCATATTGGTTAAACAGGTTGGTGCTTCCTGAAAACCTTCTTTTGAAGGTTAATATAAAAGTGACTTCCTTTCGATTCGATGATTTGAAGATCAATATAGAGTTGACTATAATGAGCATAATGAGTGACTTATAACAAAACTCAGCTAATGGACTTATTCTCATCCACTTAATTTAAGTGCGTTTTCGACGTATAAAATGCCTGCCGTTAAATTCCTGTATAATATGATCAAAAAGTGGTGAGATTTGCATTTATATTCTGCTGAGATGATTAATTGTCCGTTGATTCCATATGGTGTGAGATTCGCTCTCCTTCAGTACATACTGAATCTCGTAATTCTCTAATTTGTTGACTGTCATAGAAATATGAGGCCAAGAGTTGCTTTTTATTTGCAATTGTTTTTGTTCTTGTTCAGTGAATAGCCTTCAAATGATAAAATGCAATTGTGCAAGTGATGTTGGCATGGTTTTATTCGAGGACGTCATGATGCTTTCTCAACACAGTGCAATAATCAATTTTTGAAAGTTGTATGAATCATTTCCATCTTTCCGCTTTCATCCCTGTCTAAACTTTCTGGTAGTGTACCCACATCTAAAAATTTCAAACACATTAGAAGCAAACAAGAGGAGCCCGTTGGAAAATCGGCCAAACTTGCCTCTTTTGTAAGAAGCCACTAATTAGCAGCTTTTTATTTGTTGTCCGTTCCTTCTGGATATATCTTCTATATATCCGCTGGGAAATTTTAGATTGCCGTAGGGCGAGCATATGCATTTGAATTCAAAAATGAAAAAAGCAAGTTAAAGCCGTTGAGGTAGTCCATCCAGAGCGGAAGAAGGTTCCTCGAATGCTAATTTTTTCATTAACCGAGCAGGATGTTTGGAGAATTATTTTAAAAAATCATACTTTTTTGGTAAGCTCATTCTAGGGTCATTGTTCGGAAATGGCGAAATTATATATTTTAATGTATTTTATAGCAAGTCAACGAGCAGAATTTAGTCGAGCCGTGAGATACCAATGACTGTCACTGGGTGTATGAGTACTAGATTATACGAAGGAAAGCGTATATCCGGACAAAGCATCGATGACATCAGATGCTTTTCCAGAAAAGTAGTTTGACTCTCCTTTGCTGAGAAATCTTGTTTTTAGCGTCGTGTCAGTGGTTTTCCTTTCCCGCAGAGGACGTCAGGCGCTTTTTTCAAAACACCGGTGGTCCCGGATTTGGAGAAAAAAATTGTATTTCTAAGCATGAAACTTATCTCTTCCTTCTTAGGAGAGAGTTGAGAATAGGTCAATCAGAGATTAATCACTTTTGGACACTTATAAAAAGACATCTTGAAATGGCAATATGCAACTGTGGAGATCTTTGTTTTCAATAAAACAAAGTGGAAAAAAATCACAGCAATACCTCCTAGAGTCAAAATTAGGAAACAATACAATAGGCGAAAGGGAACAACATAAGATTGGAATCACTTCTCCATTCACTAAAGGGTCATTTACAGTAGATAGGTGGCCTTTACAGCACTCATTTCCCTGTTTTTTGGATGCTGATCCGTTCCGCCCACTGTTCTTCAAAGCTTCTCACCTTTCGCTCTCACTCATTACTATCTTATTGACGAATATAAGTTCTAAAGAAATCCCAAAAAGCAAACTTCGTCTAACTACATCAATTAGCGAGTACCAAATCTTTCTCTTATTTTGGCATTTCACTTCATCAGCTTAAATATTCGCTCGCTTCCAAGGATGGATCAAGAAATGAAACTAAGTGGCTAAAGCTCAAATGACTTCGTTTATGCAGTCTGACTGGTTGCTCCACCAAGCTATCTTATTCAGGAAGGATAAGAAATTGCGACAACAAGAAAATTTTCGGTATTCGCTCACTGTTGCAAGTTCAGTTTTTTTCTAGGAATTTACTCGATAATTGTCTTCAGTTCCATTTAATTTTTGTCGCATATTTCCGGTCAGCATTTCACTTTTGTTGTCCCATCCACTCAGGTGTCTTTCTAATATGCAAATATCGATCTAGCGTCGTTTATACAAAGGTCATGGCGGGAACACCCCCACTTTCTGTCTCTTCTCATCTTCCCTCCCTTTCCTCCTCTCATCTTCTCTGTCCTTTCAGCCTCTCTGTTCTTCTCATCTTCTCCATTTTCTCCGTGCATTTTGTCTGTTACACAGTCACAGAACAGCATAGTAAGCCATCTCCCGCGTGGTTGTGAAATAGTTCAGTAGTTGTGCGGAGGGTGCTTGCCCATCATTCTCCTGACCTGACTTCTCATATGCTTTGCAAGGTTTATTATTGTTGATTAGTTCATTTCGGGTTGACCAGCGTTTTTAATATTTTTTTTTTTCACCAAAGATGGAAGCCGTAAATTGCTTTGACAATCCAAATAGCTGCTTGGTTTCGCTTGAAATCTCAATTGTTTTTGATTTCGATCATATTCTATCGCAAATTAAAAATATTTTTCGCATCAGTTTGTCTCTTATGAAGCTCCTTAGCACAGATCACAAAAATTGCACTAATTGATTGTCTTCGATGTTAGACAGTACTACATCTGATCCAAAATGTGAAATTATGTTCATGTATAGCATATGCTTGGGAGTTATTGTTCTCTTATAACTGTTATCTCGAGTAGCGACACCTTATCTGAGTTCGGAAATCGTGAAAAGCTTCCAGTCTTTTTACCATACAGTATTCCCTAATGGCAAAGTTCTTTCAACTTCTACTTTAAGTTTGAGATTTTGATTTTTAGTGAGTGTTACTTTTCTAATCATAATTATTGCGTGTAAAAGAAGCATTATGTGTTACGTGATGCTTGAAATTATATAAAAACACTTTATAGTATCTGCATTATGGCTGGAGGTAAAGGCAAAGCAGGCAAAGATTCTGGAAAGTCCAAGGGTAAGGTCATCTCGCGAAGTGCGCGTTCTGGTTTGCAGTTTCCTGTTGGACGTATTCATCGCTTCCTAAAACAGAGGTATGTTTCCACAGTTTCATTGTCTTTCTTTAGGTAACTTCGCACAAGTCAAAATTTTTATCTGTTGGGTTATCCACCGTGAAATTTTCTGCGCTTCTCTCGATAGTTCTTTGTTTTTTTTTTTTTTTTTTGGCCTCTTGCGATATCTATTTATTAAAACTGGGCTGCAGTTCTGCAGCTTCATGGTCATACACTGATTAGATTTCTTGTTCAACATTTATTGTTCAATACTTACAGTTTTATAATATGTCTAAAAATAAGCAAAATTGTAGAACCACATCTCACGGACGTGTTGGTGCTACAGCAGCTGTTTATAGTGCAGCCATCTTGGAATATCTAACTGCAGAAGTACTGGAATTGGCGGGCAATGCTTCCAAAGATTTGAAGGTGAAAAGGATCACACCGAGGCATTTGCATTTGGCAATACGAGGCGATGAAGAACTAGACACACTAATAAAAGCCACTATCGCTGGTGGAGGTGGGTTTTCGTGACTTCTTTTATTTGCTTTTTTTTCGTGACCTCTTTTATTGGCTTCTTTAATTTATATTTCCATTCTTATAATTATTACGTGTGCCGTGATAGGGGGAAAAGGAAAAATTTCTGAAATCTAGTGTTATTTTGGTTGGTTTGAAGGATTCCGTGTAACATATTTGTTTATTGTTTGCAATATCCTTTTATTTCTAGGTGTGATCCCACATATTCATCGTTACCTAATGAGCAAAAAAGGACAACCAGCTCCAGCTCAGAAGCAAGGCCCAGCCTAAACTAATCAGTTTCTGATACACTTGACCATTTATGGTTGTTTTAATCTTATTTACACTTTGCTTTAAAGTTGTCGATTTACGCTGGTTGTACTGTATTTCAAGTTTCACATTTTAATCACATTTTATCCAAACTTTTTTATTTGCACTCATATCAATGTGTCCTTTTTATCACATCGCTCAAATAGTGTGGAGATGTGAATTTTTTTTCTCATAAACGTCTCATCACTTATAGCAGAAGTTATTTTGCTTTATAGCTTGCAAGAGTATGATTAAATAACAGCATAACGTAAAGTTTTTGAAGCATACTATTTCAACAGTAATAGTTGTACCTGATATTTGCTATCATTTTGCATTTCGTATTCTTCCATGTTTTGATTAATGTTAGTGTATCTGCTTTTTTTAATCCTGTCGGAATTTCGGATTTTAATACACAAAAATTTCAGATCTCTTTGTCGTTTTGCTTTGTGGATTCTGGAAAGCGTCTTAAGTTTGGAAATGAAGTTTGAGACTGTTGATTTTGTATTCGCATTTATATTATTTCCGTGTCGTCTTCGCAAGAGGACACGAATGTGCAGGTACACTTTAATGGGACCCGTGAAACCAAACGTTTTCACTTGAATTATATCTCGTGACGCAGGTTGAGAAATTGCAAGTTGCACATTGGAGGTCAATGGAACTGCAGCTCAAGCGAGAAAGGGTTTTATGCATGATAGATTTTCATTCCAAGTACATTAGAAAAAGTTGTGGCTGTTGCATGCGAGAACGCGCGTCCGTTCAAGCTTAGTGGATGTTGTTTACTGTCGCTTTAGCCATTCGCCGTATAAAGTGCCGTGATATCACTGCTTAATTTGGAAAATTTGGCTTATTCTTACGAAATTAGAGAGATAGGTGTCATTTGTGTCATGCTTGAGAAGTCTTTGTGTTATTATCGGTACCATACCACGAAATAATCGGCCGTCAAGTAAAACAGTAACCGTTGGTATGGGCTACCGAGTTGAAGCCTATCACAATATGTGGTACATTTCAGCTAGCTCGAATCATCAGGAATATCGTTGCTGTATATTCGAAGCTGCCACCGTTACCACTGTAAGATTTCATGGTAGCATTCGTTTCATTATGGTAAAGGGAAAGGGTTTTTGCTAACTTGCAATGTTTTCTTTCTGAAATATTTCGTTTTGTTGATCAAAGAATAAAAAAGTGCCATAATATGGAACAGACCGAGTTTTGAAATAGGGGAGGGAAACTCGAAAAAAATATGTCACTGGAATATATTTTTTTCAAAACATTAGGTTTGGAAGATTTTAACATTCTCTATTTTAGGAAGTTAAAGATTAAAAACAAAGTAATTAAACTTGGAAGACCAAGTGACTTGGAGCCCTCAATTTGGGCTTTAAATTCGTTTCTGAACTGTTGAGAGCTATTTTTTCACGAAACGTGACGGTTCCGTTGGAGTTAGCATTGCTCACGATAATTTGAAAATTGATTTGAATTTTTTTAACTCGATTGGTAATGTAAGAAATATGTCCCATCTAAAAAATCTATTTTGTTTAATTAATTCTTCTGTGATTGAATTAGATATAAGAAAATAGTGGTGAAACAACATTTTAGGTTTAGTTGGTGTGTCGGGATCTATTTATTGACGGCATATTCGGAAACAACATGTTATCTGCGTCTGCGACCAAAATATAGAGTGCTCTGAGCTATTTTATGAGGAGGGTTGCAGCTTAGCTGCAGCTATTTAATTTAACTTCGTTTAAGCGTTTATGTGGCAAACTTTGCGGTTTATTTGAACTGCACACTTGATCAATTACAGAGCATTGGAACAATCTTGCTTAAAGTAGCTTTTCTATGTGATAGGACTAAATGATAATTGAATTGCTTTAAGTCACAACGGTCACTTTTTGCTTCATAGCTTTTCCTGTTTATGTGCTCCAATATTCACTTTTACTAAGCCGCCGGAGAATAGGTGCGGGCAAAGCGAACGTAAGCAATAATTTCACTCAGACTCATTGTTGTCACGCAAGATATAACTAGAAAGCTAATTTGAAGAATCTCCAACCTTTCGAAATTTTTAATTTCTAACGTTCACTTCAGTTCATTTGCTTTTTGTTTCTCTCTTTTTCAAATTTTTCCTCTTTTGTTTTTTTCTCTCTTTCAGATTTTTCCTCTTCTTACCCTCAATTTTTCAATTCGAACAGCTTTTCTCCTTCTTTTCTTTTCCTCTCTCATTTCATTCCTGACTCTTCCCACTCTGGTTCAGATTACGTTCGCTTAACCCAATTTTCCAAAGGTTTTAGGAGGGCTTCATCTATAACACTTGCCTAATTTTTAAATACTCTATTCTTTTCCTGTGCAATTGTCTCTACACCTTTTTAAAATTTCATTTCTAGCAAATGCTATATTACATTCAGTTTTTATCGTCCATAATTTTGTTCCTCACCTAAAGAAATCTGTACAGCTAAATTAAGAAGACAAAAATCCCCGAGCAGTTTCCGATTTTTTAATTCGCATGGCCCCAAACAACAAATTTCTCGCTCATGGTGCGAGTGTAATATTTGCCACATTTGTGATAAATATTAATACGGATCTTAGATGTTTATTTTCTATAACATCACGTGTATAGAATGATCGACAACTGATCCGATCAATTTGTGTCATCAGAGGAATTTCAGCACAAAATTTGTATTATGTTGCAGGGTGTATGGACTGCATCATTCGTGACGATTTTTATTCCCAAATCGACATGCATGATAATTAATCAACGGTGCAACACTGCGAGAATTTTCGATATTGTTACTTCATTTTAAGCCTCTATCATGGTTTGGGCAAAATCAATTACTAACTCTGACAAAAGAATTTCAATGAAGCTTTTAAAAAAAATTTATGACTAAATCATGGTTTCCTTTCAAAATTAATCTAAACATCGTATAAACAAAGGTAGGGAAAGGACCGGGTGCTGCTCGTCCTCATCAATATTCCCGCATTTTACATTGCTTGGAAACTTACATCTTTACAAGCGAATGTTATTAATCCATCGCTGCGACTTTGCGATGTACTTACCATAAATTCGGCAACATGTTTTGCAGCTGCTACTTTTCTATTCTCTCGTAGAAACACATTAATGTTAAGCAAATTTTTTGGCCATCTTCACAACAAACCAAGATTATACTTTCCTCTCACCAATGTACGATCAAATTTGATGGAATTCACAAAAGTGAATGCGAGTGTAAACTTTAAAAAGAGATGAGTTGCTCGTTGCAATCTTCTTTGTTTTCTATTGGAGCACGTGAAATAGTATAACGAAAATGTCTAGAAAAGTTGCGCTCAGCAAGAAATACTACTCCGTGGATGGAAGGAGTCGATGAGGGTGGTGCGATGTAGTCTCGAATAGGACTCCTTTTGCAACTAGTCGGACTCCATTTTTATTAATCGGTATTATAATGGAATTTTTAATAAACGCAAACTGGACCCTCATTGTTTTGATTGCTTACTGTCTTATGTCACACTATTTTCTGTCTTCTTTTCCATTGTCTATTATTTAAGATCTGTTCTTTATTTCTTCCTGAGATTAAATTACATTTTTATCCCCTTCTTATGACATTCATCATACCCAAACTTATAGTTTTTTGAGACCTTTAACATGGGTTTGTAACTGTACTTCATGAGGTGGACTAATTTTACCCATAACATGGCTTCGTGTAGGATGTGGCCTAGTTTTGTGTCCAGTTCGTGAGGTATTGCTGCTTTAATAGCTTTATTACGTGAATTATCCACATATAACGCTGCAGTTTTGTTTCTCTATGGTGACGGCCGAGTATCAACTTCTAAGTGAAAGATGTTAGCACTATAACCATTTACTGCTGTTTATGCACTGGTGAGACTGCCCGCAATTATTTTTAACGATAAATTAACAACGTGCAGACTCATTGATCTTAATTGCTTTGCCTGAGTTATACTTACAACCCTATTGTTGAAGAGTGTAAGCGAATATTTACTATGTATTTCTTAATAATTATTATACGTGACGTTGTTGAATGGAAGATTACCGTTCCAGGAGTTATAGTTCGGGTGTTTTGGAAAAAATAACGAGGTCTTTCAGATCTACATTTCAGATGTGCCGTTTTTCAAAAGCTTACATCATGTAAAAACATCTTTTGTAAGATTTTATAAAATACAAATAGATTGCTGGATATTTCGGTCGTTTGGTTCTCTGGTTGATTGAAAGAGACTAACAGTGTTTGTTGTTAAACTGTCCGTTGATGCTTAAAGTATTTGTGGTTCGAAGGTTAAATAATTAATATCAGATAAAAGGTGGTGCTCAGAGCAGGCCAATAATATTATATGGTTAAACCATATTTAGAATTAAACTTATGTCACCGCTGACTATATGTGTAGATAAAATGTGAGTATAAATTCAGTCTATTTCTTATTTTTTTGAGGTTTTATGTATGACTTATTTTCATATTTCACTGATATGTTTTATACGCTATTTTAGCTTTTTCTCTATCTTTTCTTCCTTGAGGAACCACTAAACTGCACATTAGAATAGCTAAATTGTTAGCACTTCTAAGTTTGTTTCTGTTAAATAAACTTCAGTTCTTGGTTATTTGCGAAATTCACTCCTGTGTCCTTTTAAGAATTCAGTTTTTAATCGCTAAACATCTCATTTATTTTAAGTTTATTCAGAGGAACTTTTGCAGGTATGACAGAGGTGCTCCTTGGACACGATTTAGTAAGGTCTCCACTCGATCCGGAAAAAGTGTCGGAGAACTCGCTGAAGAATGGAGCACCACGTTCTGAATTCTTTCTGATGACCGGTGACAAAATGATCAGTTTGAACCACAAAATATCTCCGCGATACGCTGAGGTATTTACTAATGTGCAATTTATCTCTGAATTGTTTTGTAAAAATTTACTACAGAGCATATATTAATCAAGGTGTAAACACGCAGATTGCATACGTGCTGTTCTCATTTTCTCATTTTTGTCTTGAGAAGTTGTCACTTGAAAGTCGTGAAAATTATAAACTGGAATTCGAGGTAACATTTGCTTTAAACTTTTGCAGGTTATATAGCAGGTCATATAGCGCTTCCGGTGTCTCACTTTTTTCGAATTAAGTTTAAGTTGCAACTTTTTATAGATGCATTGCGAACAACTGCCACCAACGACGGAAAAGGCAGATTTACTTGCCCCTAGAAGACCGTTTGACGATTTTCCTTCAGCAATACAAGAAAAATCAAGAAATAGGAGGTTTAATCCAGAATCTGCGGTCCCTGCATCACAGTCTGAAAATGGACTCCATGAAAAAGAGTACCTGCAGGTTTTGGTTTGGTACTACTTTGAGTGAGCATTGCAATTAAAAATCAATAAGAAACAAAAGAGTTGAAAAATGAGCAAAGTAGGTTTTTCTATCATTCTGTAGTATTGCTGCGAGAAATCAGTAGAATAAAAATAAAGAGCCATCCGGTTATTCATTTCAGGATATCGGAATGGACGAGAAAAATTCCTCAGTGACGGTGAACATAGATAGGAATAATCTAAGTTGTGCAGCAGAAGCAAGTGGATCCCTGGCAACTGTTTCTAGTGTTTTGTCATCACACTGTAGCAATTCTGTGGCAGCTCCACATAGTTCAGCGATTGAACGTCAAAATGCTATTGTGGCAAAATTGTTCGAAATTAGTCGAAGTGAACCAAACAGCCCTTCGAAAGCTTCCGTTTCCGTTATGAACAATTTTGTGTCAACGATCAGATGTCCATCTCCTTCAGGTAAATAATTTTTTTATAATTAATAAAGAGATGGAGAGCTTTTGTCCAGTAAATTTGTTTAGATTATGACAGAAGATCAGAATTCGATGTTGAGGCACCTGTGCGTCTTGCTAAACGACTGTTCGTATTAGATGGCTTCAAAAGAGAAGATGTTGCAGCTCATTTATCGAAAGAGTAATTTTTTTGAAGTTCTGATTTTTTTGTGAGGATAAGAATTGCATTTCCACTGGCATGAATGCCTGAAAGGTTTTATCCAGATTTCGGGATATATTTGCAATTTGTGGTGTATGTCGCAACAGCGATTCGAAAACTGAAACTGTCAAGAAATGTATCAAGGAAGAATTACTTTGCTTAGGGCTGGTTATTTTTTGCTACATTTTTTGTAACGAACGAATTCCAGATTGATATGGTGTGGCTTTTATGTGATGTATAAAATAAGCGGTAAAATTTTGGTGAGTACATGATATATTTTTCATTTACGATAAATTTAGGAATGAATTTGGTATATCCGTTGCCGAGGAATATTGCGCCTTGTTCAATTTCTCCGGCATTCGCCTGGATGCAGCACTACGTGATTTCCTTTCGAGATTTTGCCTTACGGGTGAAACTCAGGAAAGAACTCGTATCACTGAACATTTCGCAAAGCGTTATTACGAGTGCAATCCAACACTTTTTAGAAATACCGGTAAGTATTGTCGCTGGAACATTAGTAGCTTACATGGATCTTCGTGCTAACATTAGTAGCTTCTTGCTGCTGTTTTTTTTCTTTGTTTCGAAAATGAACGATAGTTTTGTATTTCGTAAAACATTTTACAGACACTGCATTGAACTATTTATTCCATAATTGAAAAGTACTTGTAGGATATTGACATTCTAGTGAGAAGAATAAGAATGTCAGCGCTCTGAATATGTGCTAATATTCAGTATTGTTGAATGTTCATGATTTGAATTTTTAGACCAGGTTCATGCACTTACCTGTGCCTTACTGCTGCTAAACTCGGATTTGCATGGTCCGGTATGAAATTATTTTAATTGTCACTTTTTCGGCGAGTTTTTTTCTAAATGTTTATATAATTAGCTAAGAATGCACTATTATTAAACAGCTTTTCAAGTAAAATTGGTTTTGTACTGCTCATTACTTATTTCATTCTCTACATTTCAAGTTCTATGTCTGCAGAATGTTGGGAGACGGATGTCTAGTCGTGACTTCGTAGATAATCTAGGTCACACAGAACATGTTTTCGACTGCTCTTTATTGAAGACTTTGTATGCAGCTATCAAGGAACAACCTATCAAATGGGTTGGGTAAGTTTTATTTATTAATTAAGTACAATTGACTTCAAGTCTCTAAGATCATTATCATACTGCTTTTTTTAAATACTATTTTCAGCGAATTGGGAGGGACGTCACCTAATGATGTATCAGTAGCGGACGATATTATTTCACAGATCCATGAAAAAAAGATGCTATCAAAATCACGATCGACAGTGAGTGGTGATGATCAGATTGAGTATAAAGCTGGTTGGGTTGTGAGGAAGTACCTTTTTGATAGAGACGGAAAGCGAAGTAAGTCAATATTGTTTCTAACAGTGGATAAACTGGAGATGCAATTTATCGAATTGTTATTGAATGGCCGACTCTGATCTATGCTGAATTTAAAGGAATATTTTCGTTGAAGTTACCTATGGCAACCATGTTTTAGTATTTCAAAGAAAAGCGATAAATGTAGGGTATCTGATTTATTTAATTATAGCTCCGTTTGGCCGCCGCGGTTGGAAGATGGTTTATGCACGACTTCGAGGAATGGTTCTTTACTTGCATAAGGATGAAAACGGTTTTCGATGTGGGCGTTACCAGACATTCAATAATGCTATCCTTCTGCATCATGCACTAGCCGAAAGGCCTGAAGATTATAGCAAGCGACAGCATGTATTCAAACTGAGGACAGCTAATCTCGGTGAAACACTTTTTCAAACGAGGTGATTATTACTGTATGTTCACTGCTATATATTTCACACTGAATTCTTTTATCATTTCATTTTTTTAAGGGATCATTTTTATTTTGACAATCATATTATAATTAGATTCTGTTCTAATTCATAAATAAGGAAGTATTCTAATCAAACGTTGTTAGTTGATCAAACTTTTTATCCAGAATTTTTATTAGTGCACTACATAATGAAGCTATGAAAAAAAGATGGATTTTCCAGTGATCCGAGCGAAGTGCAACAGTGGATTAACACGATTAATTACGTTGCTGCAGCATTTTCTTCGCCGGCATTACCAGCGTCTGTTTCAAATCAGATTGAAGTTTTCCACAAACCGCTACTACCTAGCGCACCGTCAGGCCTGTCAATAGTAAGTATTTTCTCAGATTAAAGTTGGGAGTGCATACCAATGCCAGGTTGCATAGATTTACATTTCCAACTCCAAGTTTAGAGAAATTATTGCGTCTTTTGACCATTCACTACTTTTCAAGTTTTTTTCACATGTACATTGATTTAAGCGATTTGTTTTCAAATGAGAACGAAAAGCTGTCCAGGTGATAAAAACATGTGGCGTACTAGCGGTAAATTTGCGGTAAATTTGTTTTTATGACTGCATTAGTAATCATTTTCAAAGTGCCTGTAGACAGAATTAAAATTGACCGCAGGCCGAGCAGCTAAGAGTGCACGAGAGAAAAGAGGAAGAAATGGTGTTAAAGCTTGAGGAGCTTATGAAAACAGCACCATCTTTGAAAGCCAAAGGCCATGTTGTGCAAGATTTTTTCTACAAGGAACGTTTTTTATACCAAGAAGTAAGTTGTTTATTTCATTTACTACTTTTTATGTATGATATCGGCTTAACATGTTATTATCGGCATAAAGACTGCTTGACTTTACATCGACATCTCATTTCCACCATCATGTTGAGAAAATATGCTTTAAAAGCTGTGAGTATTATCATTAGTTCATTCTGATTCTCTTTGCAGAGAGAACGTTACCAGCGTTACGTCGAAATTTTGCGTGAAAACCTTAACGCACTCTCACCATCACATTCCACGGCAATACGTGAAGAGCCCGTCATAGGAATTTATCGAGTGGGAGATGCAGGAAGGTCATCCAGTTCTACCCAAAGTAAAATGTTTGAATGTACAAATATAGTGAAAGAGGAGCCAGAGGCAGAAGCAAAGGCCGAAAAAGCTGAAGAAGAAAATTCCGATTTAGAATCCTATGATTCAGACATAAGCGCAGACCGCTGTAGTTACCAAGAAGCAATACTCAGAATCCAGGTCCCCATTTGATAACATCAAAGTGAAATATTTTGATTTGAAGCTTAGGTTAGGCATCAGTATAATGTATATTACTGGTAGATCATTGCGAAAATTCTCATCACATTCTATTTTGCTTTGCATGGGAAGACCGGAATAGTCACTATTATTCATCCAATTATTATAAAGTTGCTTTGAGGAATATGTTAGATAGGGTGATCAAAGTTGAAGTCATTAGGCAGTCGCTATTAGAGACTGAAAAGGCCTTAAAGAAGACTGCTCGTAATACACGGCAGCAGATAAGAAATCTGTTTGTCTTTTGTCCTAACTATATCCGGATTGAGAACACTCAAGAGCCCAAACTTTCTCTTTAGAATATGGAGGATTTCTATATTTCAATACCTTGGTCAGTCATAGTTTTATAAATTTGCTTATTTATGCCGTAATACAGTTAATAGTATTTCATCGACATAGATTCACAAAGGACTGTGATTAAATTTCATTTGATTTTACATTATAACATCCTTTTTACATTGCTTCTACATCCCGTAATCTTGAATAAGTAAGGGTTATTTTGTAGATTTTATGTTTCTTAGAAAATTATTTTATCGAATTGTCGAATTCCGGACTTTTGATATATGAATTCATGCTAAATCACTTGGAGTAATCTAATACTTCTTTGTTATTGCTGCGAAAATTGATGAAATGATTGCAGTTTTCAAAATATGTTTAACCTTCATCCTCATAACGCTTCGAAGCACCTTCTCACCACAGATGTAACAGGAAATCCGTTAATCTCAAATATAAGTTATCATACACATTTAATCTTTTCGTAATGAAAAAAAAAGTGGAATTAAATATTAGATATTCAGAGTGTAAGCACTGATATTACTGGTGTAGTAATTAAATACCTTTAGCGAGTTAAATTACCACTTTGAACTTTCATTTTTTATTCCTTTACTTTGCTTAAAAATTCTGTATGAAGTGTTTTCTTTCTTTGTGTAATTTGTTCTGTTGTTCATTGTACAGTTCTGTTTCCTAGCTCATTCTGCTGAGGTGATTTGTTTTCAGATCAACTCTGTGGCATCATTTGTAACCACCACGTTCCCCGGAACTGTTTTTTATACATTGCGTGAGTTTGACTTCTATAGATTTTATCTTTTTATTGGCACTTTCCCTCTTAGCATAATTTTATGTGTGAAAATAAATTTTGCGGTACTGTAAGGCATACACTTAACGTTTTGAAATGTTAATTAGGGCTTACCACTTCTAGTCATGGAACCTTCCAACTCGGACATCAAACGGCAGTGGCAGCTAGCAATGCCGGTGTAACTTTATATTATCAATTACAATGATGTAATCGACCGTACAAAAGTAGTCAAATTTATGGCGTGTTAGGCATAACTAAAATTTGTTGGAATGCATTTTCTTGTTTCTTTTTTAACGTGATACTATGTATAATTTACGAATATTTAGTTGCAATTACAATTCTTAGAATGCTGTCGTTCGCGGTGTTCGTTTGAGTTCCATTACAACTATGTAACATCTTCAGTTTTTTCTTAATGAAGGATTCCTGTGTTCAGCGCTTCTGTGAAATTGTAATGATGTCTTTATTTCCTTAAATGAAGGAACATTTTGAGCAGTTAAATGTGCCACGAACTTGTGTTTTAGGCGGTCGTTTATGAGCATGCATGTTTCATTTTTAACGAATATCCTTGGCTGTACGTTACTTCATAATTGGCTCTTGGTAATACAGCTAACGTAAATTCATGATACTACTACGCCATCATTTTTATTATTTTATGGTAAATTTTATGAGATTTATTTAGATCTAGAGAGTATAATACTATAGTAGTGTTGAGCACCTCATTCAAAACATAGCTATGGTTTTTCAAAACATAATGTGACCCGCAAATTATCTTACCACAGTGAGTTATTTTCAAAGATGAGAAAGAGCAATTTTCATTATTTCTGCTGAACATATATATGTTTTGAAGTGGTATTGTAGATAAAATATTTATAGCAAGCTTATTTAGAAGGATAAAAGATGCTTAGAAATTCATTTTTCTCTGTGATTAAAGTTGAATAGTAGAGACATCTTTTGTAAGTTATTGGCACCTTCAAATCCCAGATGCGTAATCGTGTGAACATGATTCAAATATGGGTTGTTTACCTTCAACATATTTGATTACTCAACATGGATATATACTCGTTCGTTCTATATGAGTTGATGAATAATTTGTTTTATTTTGTCGATACAAGGCATGGAAATTCGGTTTGTGTTTTCTTAGCGCAATGAAGGATTTTGTTTTATTTTTATATTTCATTGCCTTTATGATAGTGACGTTTAATAAACATGCTTCGGTAGCATCGTCCCATCTGTTTCAGTTCATTAGAGGTTTCTTGGCTTTTAAGCATATTTCAGTAACATGTATGAAATTCAACAGTTTATTTACTAATATGAAATTTAAAAGTATCTTGGGACAATCCTTGGCAAGAGATATGTCCTACTGAGAAGATAAAGTGTGGAATTCGGATTGAATTCCCTACCGCTAGGCTCGATTTTGATTTTCTTCGAATAAGAAAGAAAAACGATGAGTTACTCACTGTTGAAGAATGGATCCTAAATATTTAAAACCTTCAGATAGGGTCTGGCAAGAATGCATGGTCATATAGTCGTGGTGTGAGAAATAGCTTCAACGAACATTAACTGTACTGAAATCATAGTAGTAAAGCTTCAGCATGTAGTGGGTAAAATTTGACTATTAAAATTACTTGACAACAATATTACCATATGTGGAGGATTTTAAATTCATGGGTATTTAATCATTGCGGAGGCGGAGGTATTACCTTACAATGCATTGAAGTTGTGTGCTCGCAGAAATTTGCATAACTACTCTGGCATGTATTGACGAATAGCATGTGGTTTGCAGAGATTTAAGCATGGATTGTTTCACTTTCAATCAACGTTCCATTGGAGAGGTTTACTTTTTATTGGCTGTTTCATTTCGAGTTCTTAATTAGAACTGCACAATCTTTTTACAATTCATTGGTACACTACGAGTTCGTCATAAGCTCTTGAGAACCTAGAATACATTTTTTGGGAACTGCATGCATCTTTCATAAGAATAATTGGATGATATGATGCCAGGGTGGGTGACTGTATGACGGAATGTGCCGGGAAAATTACAAGGTGAGGTCTGCCTTGGATCATACGATTCTTTGAGAATGTATTAAAGATTTTTCCTGTATATTTCTTGGGTGAAAAGTATGTTAAAAACATGAACTTACTGGATCTGATCATGTAAGACTCGGGTCTGAACTATATAGTGCTCCCGCTCATGATACCCAAGAAGTAATCAACTTAGACAAAATTTGAGTTATTGAATTCGTGACTGTGTGGTCTCACTACAGGATATACAACTTTCTTACTCTTGCGTTGACTTATAAAATAATCTTACCGATCATTTTTCCTGTATATTTCTTGGGTGACAAGTAGTTTCTTTGCTAATTAAACATTTGTTAGGAGATGTCAGCGTTCACTTTATCTTTATATAATACGTTGGTTATACTTAAGTCGTAGTTTATCGCCCGCGTGTGGTTTACGGCTTGCGCGTTAAGCAGTTTATTTTACGAAAACAATGGAAGGCATGGATACTAGCGCACAGGAACAACAAAATTTGGAAGGAACCATAAAAACCGAACAAAAAGGTACCTATTTTCTAGTCCAGAGTTATTTTAAAACAGCGATATAACTTTTGCAGATGAGTGCGTTTTTCGTTCAGAGCAAAAACACACTCAGCTATTCTTTTAAAATGCATTACACTAATTTGTCAGCTGGCGCGAATATCTTTCCTTTTTGCAGCATAATTGAAGTACTACCCAATTTGCTACTTTCTTCTAGTACACAACTTACTACTAGTACACAACTCACAACTTACTACACAACTTACTAGCACACATGTACCACATGTCATTGTTCAGCAGGCCGTATTAAATCATTAGTATCTTTGATGCGAGGAAGTCATCACCTCACAGTGTTAAAACAAACTTTCTACTCAGTTTGCTAAATGTCAACATAATATATAGTTAAAATATCGATGTACTGAAAAACTTTATTATTATTGCTTTGAAAATTCCGAAAAGTAAGAAAGTGGTATAGAAGCGGGAATGAGTTAGAAGTGCTTATGGCAAGGAAGCGGAACTATGGGGACAAATAGATGATAGTCAAGTAGAGGGTGCTAAGATAATACGCTTGAAAAAAAGGTAACTATGCTTGAAATTTGATACAAATGGTTATTATTCGTTCATCGAAATTTGTAAATAAGGTGCGGTGTTCAGTATGTGTATCATTCATGTTAGTTTTTACAAGATTGCTAGTGTTGTGTCGATTCTCGAAAGATGGTTCAATATTTATTCATTGGTATTGCTTATGGTAATAATTCTATACTTATTTCTAATTTCGAGTCAACGGACTGCTGCATGTAATATTGATTATTGCAGAAAAAATCAAAACTGAGCAACAAACACACTGTTTGTGTGGAAGTAGTGATGAGTCATCATTCATGATATGCTGCGATCATTGTGGTGTCTGGTATCATGGAGCATGCCTGCAAGTAATTCTCCCAGTTATTCATTTAATTATTTGCAAAAAAATCTATTCTGTATGGAAAAAAAACGTATACAGTTTATATTAGGAAACATTTCCATTCATTCTCAATATTGCATTTTTTTCAAAGTTGCATAATTTTTATAAACTTTATCTACACGAATCAGGAAATCATTCAATATATAACATATGATTCCGAAATTAATTCATGCATATGTTAAAGTCACTTCGTAATTCACTTCACTGCCGCTAAATCATATGAAAAATTTTCATAACTTAATATTTATGTTTAAGGTTACTCGCACCCAGGCAAATCGTATCGAGACATACGCGTGCCCTCCTTGCATTAGCAAAGACAACAGTTTAAAAATCGTATACCGCGCTCCCGTAAGTTCCTTCAGTAGCTTTCAAATGAACTGATTGATTCATGAAGAAGGTTGTTTCATGTATTTTTCTTTTCAAATGAGGGTGATGGTACTTTTCCAGTAGGCGATTCTTCTTGTTTTTAAATATTTTCAATTGTTTCATTTATTTTTTAGAAGAGGGAACGAGAAAAGAGCGTCCATCACGAGAAGCAATGCAAATCAAAAGGGGCTAGAAACGACATCAAAACTCAAAATGTGCTGAGACGTTCTTCAAAAGATAACCATGGTTTGAACGATAAATCACATAGATAATTTTTTAGTATAAAGTGACATGATTTATCAGGATCAGCTTAAGAAACTTTACGCATATTGTTTCTAATTTTATAGATGACACTGATATTGATTATGTGAAAATATTGTAGAGGAAAACAAGCCTGAGCAAGGTTGCAACAACTGCATTAACTGTTTTCGATCAGCAAACTGTGGTAAATGTGCAAATTGTAATACTTCTGTGGAACCATGCTTGAAGCGCATTTGCTTGCAGTCAGAATGGTGGAATAAACATAAGAAAAGACAACAACAGTTTAAAGTTGCTGGCAGAGAAGAAGGTGATTATTAATTGATTTTTCATTTTTTGTTTTTAGTTTTAATAAGCAAATAAGATGTGGAAGTTTTCGTTTTTTTTTCTGTTTTTTAATGTCAAAATTCACTAGACATATTGTTAAAACCTCGCAAGAACTTAAAAAAATGTGAAGTTTTCATTAGTATTTCTGTCCAAGTTTCTCCGAGTCTGCTTATTATAATTATCTGATACATTTTCAATCATTTTACAGTAAACTAATTTTATGGAACTACAAAGAGCAAAGATATATTAAGCGGCTATAATATGTGAGAAACTATAATAATTGATCCGCTTTTGCTCATTAAATTTAGTTATGAAGCAAAACAAAGCTTTACTTCCAGCAGTTCAATCGAGCGTTCACTCAGTTCCAACAAGGGGCAAGAAAGAGCGAATGAAGTATGTGTAGTAAGTTGCTATATTAACTCCTCATAAGTTGTTTGCTAACCTTATTTTTTGTTGGACGTTAAAGTAGTTTTTCAGCACAACAGATGATGACGATGATGATAATATGGAAACTTTTAAACGAGAGGGCGGTTCGACGCGTTCGAGCTTTGTTGCAAGTGGAACTAAAAAAACTCAGAGAAAAGTAGTAAGGAAAAGGAAAACCGTACCATACCAGGTTATTATTTGACTTATTGAAAGGGACAATTGTTTAATATTTAAGTTCTATTGCATCTGCGTATTATCAGCTTTTCTTCATGAATAATAATAAAACGAATAAAATTCGAAGAACCAAGGAATTTTTGAGAGACTTCTAGATTTATGAACACCATTTGTAGATGGTATTAATGCTCTGGTTCTTTTTTTTCACTTGTTTTTGTATTTTTGAATCTAGTGACCTTTCAGGATTTTTTTATCGCTTCATATTTTCGTCCAACATCCTGATTTTTATTATATGAGAAGTTATGTATTTCCTTGCAGATCGTTGATGTGATTTGATCGGGTTTTGTGATCCAGTATTTTATAAGCAATTTTATGCTTCTATTTTTTCATTTCAGATTTTCAGCCTTAAATATGAAAAGTATCCTTATTAAGTTTGGTGGTAAATAGTATGATCTGCAGAATGATGGAATGATAATTTTATAAATGTTTTTAGAAACGTCAAACAAATGCAGCAGCGGGAAAAGCAAAGAAATCGAAAACCAGTGATTTTTCTTTTACAACAGGTATAAAGAGAATTCATTCTTAGCAGTAAGGTTTTTTAAGCAATCAGCTTTCGTCTTCATATTTACTCTGAGAAACCAAGCATGATATGCTATCTTTGCCAGTTGTTATGCTTCATTTCTGTTTAAGTGCATTTTATTTTGTATCACCATGCCAGTAAAAAAATTTACATTTCAAGATGGGCTTATTCATGTATATTGTTAGTGACAGAAAACGTTCATATTAACTATTGGACAAGGGAGTAATACTGGTTACGGGTAAATATTTCTCTTTCTTCGAACAATGAGATAAAAAGGAAATATGGAGCTTTTCAGTCTGCAGAGTGTGAGTAATGTAAGAAAATATTACATTTTCGGGGTTTTTGCAGATATCATTTTACTTAACTTGCCCTGTGTTACAGAGCAACGCCAAAAAATTGCATCGGCTATTTATAATCGTCGTCCACATCGTCATAACCAAAATAAGGTTTGAAGTCTAATTTGGATGTGTCTTTTTGGAGTTGTGAATTCAGTACTTGTAAAGAGTCTTTCATATTCACCAGACGTCTTTAACTCTCTGTCTAATTGACAAAAAGTGGTGCAGTTATTGAATAATTGTTGAAATCCAGAAATCATAATGGTTAAGAGTCTGGTTTAGACATTGTTATTATTTATTGTATTTTTGAATAGATATTTTTCTTGTTAAATATTTTGTTAATTTTGTAATTCTTGGATGAATAATCTTTGTAGGAAACAGCAAAGCATTGTGAGGGACCTCATTGCACGAATTCTACGCGTTCGCAGTCAAAATTCTGTTGTGAGGAATGCGGGATGAATTTGGCACGTGTATGTTATTCGAACTTAAGTCAACAATTCATGATTTCAGTACCGTTGATTGTTTCCAGTAGTTTTAATATTATTTAAAGGATTAGTTTGTTTACTGAATAGTTGTAAGTTGTTTGAAATTTGTGATGAACAACTTATGACGATATTTTTCAGTTTCCGCAGAGTTCTTGCTTTAGAATTGTCGAGGCATTTTCAGGATCGCTTGCGTGCTATCTTACCGGACCGTGTTAAGTCATATTGGGACAATATGTCTTATTCCATGGAACAGTCGCAGCATTTACTAGATGCAGCTGAGGAGCAAATTCAGTTTTTTACGGTATTATATCGCTTTGAATAACTTGAATTTTGCTAGAATTTATCAAGCCTTTGTCGCAGAACGTTACCGATGCTTCGGGGAAGTTTTAATCAAACAGTTTTACATGGTTTAGATGGGATACATGGTTTTACTGCTATTTTGTTTGGTTTCATGTAGGCTCTTTTTGCTGGCTTCATAATAGCAAAGAGAGCCTACATGAAACCAAACAAGATAGCAGTAAAAACCATCTATCCCATCTGGACCATGTAAAACTGTTTGATTAGGTTTTCAAAAAATGAGATCTGAATAGAAAAATGACAATTTTCAGACGGCTTTAAAAGTTGAGATGGATTTGTAGCTGTTTAGTTTTTTTTTGATTGAAATAGTTTTTGAATAAATTTTTAGATACGGTAACAGTTCCAACCACTGTGATAAAATGACACGCTATTATGGTGTTGTGATTGTCGCATGCCTTCATTTTCTAGTTCATCTTATATTTCAAATTTTTGATTAAAATATTCTTATTTTCGCAATGGTTGGCAATTTCTTATGAAAAAGAATTTGTAGCTTCTGAAATCAAGCATAATATCGATCATATGGCTTCATTTGCTGTGTTTGTCACAGCAATTTTGACATAAATAGGGAACCCTTCCTCGTACTCGCTTTACTGTGGTTTTTTCTCAATCGGCGTGAAGTATTCTTTCACAAAATTATCTTTTTGGTTACTTGACTATGATAAATTTCGCCGTTAGTCCAATATTTTAAGCGTAAATTATTATTATTTGTCTTTTCAATAGTAGTTAATGGTATTTTGCTTTTGTATTCTTAGCGCAATGATTCGTAGACATATAATGCAGAGTTATAGCTCGTTTATTTGTTTCATCTTGCTGTGAGGATGGAATTCCAGACCCTCATTACTTGAGTATTCTTTCTAAGAGATTGGCTGCAACTTTTGTAATCATCGTAGCTTTTTCACTTTGTTGGATATTGCTGGTAAGGTTGTTGGTTCGTGAATGTCTGGATACTTTGGTTCTAGATGCGCTGTAATTTTTTTTCACCGATAGAGTGTATTTGTCTTCTCGAACTATTGCTTTGACAGCATGTAGTTTTTATATGTGCCAATTTTTCATTCCTCGTTTATGAATGTACAGCGTATCTAGAATCTTGCATATGATTTTTGGTGTGGTAAAATCTGTTGAAAGAAGTGGCAGATGTGTTATCGTAGTCAGTTTTTTCCTGAAGATTGAGATGTAAAAAAAATCCCATTTTTTTCCTTAGCATTTCTTGGTCTGGACAGACTGGTGTAATTCTTAAAAAATCCTGTGAAGCGTCCAAACATTCTTTTTTAATTTTATGAGTATTAAATATGCTTTAAATGCATATAGGTTTTATTGTGTACTTTGCAGAATAAAGTGCGCACATTCGCAGATTTTCAGGACGAGCTGCGAAAATGGATTTCGGTATGTCATATGTTATTGTACTTTTTAGAAAAATATGGTCATATAAACTGTTCTTACATACGAGAAGTGAGCTGGATATTTAGTTTTGTTGAAGGATTTTTTTCCGTGAAATTGCATTGGTAATTCATTCTAAGTTTTTGCGTTGTGTCACAGACTGGTCCTTATCCATGTTGAACCAGTTCTTTTTATACTTCTAACTCTGGTTATTCATTCGAATCTTATTTAGACAGTTGATAAGATCGAGCCTAAAAATGAAGCAGCCGTAAATAACTCGCTGGACATGGATTTCGTAAGTAATTGATTTTCCGTTTTATGTTAATTAACTTTCCACTTTTTTGATTTGAATTCCAACGGAAAAGTTACCGTAGTTGACATAGAATATATTTACTCTTAAAATGTGGCAGTTAAGGTCCTGCATTGTGCTGTATGCGCCTTGGAATTTCCAGCAAAACTCATTGTGAAACATATGGAGCGATGCTTCGTCCGCAATGAAAAACAGAGTTGCTATGGTACAACGAACAAGGTTCGTTTGTTTCAAGACTATATAAAACTAAGAGTTGAAGTGCCGCAGACAACTTTCATTAAACAGCAATTACCAAGCACATTTTGCCGTGTTCATGAATTTTGTTTGAAGGTTCTTTGCAGTTCGTTTGTTTCCAAACGGGATTGCTATAACCACGTTCCTTTTATTTTAAATTGTTTTAGTCACAAGTCAATCCGTACAATATTTTTTGCGAGCAGTTCAATAAGGCCAATCATACGTTTTGCAAACGTCTTCGTGTGTTATGTAGTGAACACTACAAATGTACGGATGATGTTACAAAGGTATATTGATATTGAATACATTTGTTGATCCTTTACCTCTTTCCACAATGCTTTGGGACTATTGTTTTCACCGTATCTAAAGGTATTAGCAACTCACTGATGAAAATTTTCTGTAAAACATAAATCTACTTAGTTTCTAAGTCATATTTTTCATAGTGTTTCATTGAGAATGCAGCTCTGGAACTAAATAGCTTCGTTTCAGTTTCATTGTTTGATTTTTTCTGGTACTGAAGTACTAATTGATCATAAATAAATCAAAATCGTATTGTAGATCTGTGGGTATCCTTTTGCATGGAGCAAGAGTGAATTTCGACCTGTCATTAAAACGTTTGATGACATGCAAACACTGCTTCAGGAAGGCTTTTGTCATTCCCCGCGAAAGAACTGCCTTCAGCATCATAACTGGATTCAGGTCTGCATGAGACCTTTCTTAAATTTCCCACTTTCCAAACCTAAATTCGAAATAATCAAATTTAGAATGCAATGGGTTTGATTGACGTTGAGTTGCTGAATCTTCTGATTAAACTTGACGAGTGGTTCGAGAAAAAACGAATACTTCAAGTCTCAGAAACCATGCGTGGTGATGTGCTTTCACTTTTCTGCAATAAAACAGTTCGTTGCAATGCATTATTGAATAATAGTTCCATTCCGGCCTGTGCTTCGGATAATTCCGATCCCGCTGATGACGGGCAATGCCAGAACACAGAACAGTCTATGAATGCAACTATGCTACATACGGAGAGGGCAGGTTACGTTGGTTGCAGTGATATTTGCGAAGATAGTATTAATAAGCAGGTACACTTTAAAAGTAATGGATGCAAAACGAACGTTTGGTAATAAACAAAATAAAGATAAGTTTATCTATGATATACTGAAGCATAGGACGTGTCAGCTATCATTATTTAAAAAAAATCATTGATCCTTGAATATGCATCTTGATTTCATTACTGATTAGGAATCCTGTTGCGTTGGCTTGTGGAAGCGTTAAATTTTCATATATTATTTAGGCATCATAAAATATTGACCTGCGACCTTCAATTACTAGCTGTATATTATTCATTCGACAATTACCCAACAATCTCAGTGGAAAACTCGCTTTCAGACCTCATGCGTATTTTTTATGGAATTTTTGTCTTTTTTCGTTTGTTGACGAATACTTTTTTGTCGTCAATCCCATATGTGCATCTCTTTGTTTATATACACAAAAATGTGTATAGGAAAATGTATTTTAAAAAGTGCAATTGTTGTCTCAATATTTTGTAATTACTTAATTGATAGCATGCAAAAATTTCCAAAAGCCCCAAAAAGATGATCCAATTACATATTAATAGCCTTTGAAATAGAGTTCTTATGCACCCTTACATTACCGCTTATGATTTTCATATGTTACATTATGAGAAACCTCAGTGGCACAGAATGTCGGCCTTTAGATTTGTTTAAAAAATACTGAGATAGCTGAGAAACAATACTTTCTTTAGTGAGATAACTTCTTGTGTTGTCTTAGCTTGTAAGGAAAGAATGTTTTCGGTTTCTTTCTTATCTAAGTTTTGCCTGATGCTCCATTCCTGTTAATCTTGCTGGCATGTAGTTATGTGATATGCTGGAACTGATTATATGAACTCTTTTTAATGTATTTCATCGTCATTTTTTTCATTCATTCTTTTATGAAATAATATTGAAACTGTTTTTGCGAATACTTTTGAAACTTTCGATCTCTTTTTGTGAGCTGAATTGTATTGAATCGATGATAGTCTTATGCAATTAGCTTTCTCTTCCCAGAAGTCATTTGCTATATATATATATATATATATATATATGATTGATTTTCTTCTTTATTCCTTATAGCACAATCGTCTCAACCTGTAGAGTGATTCGTTTTTTCCTCCCATTTTCATTTTAAATGTAGTAACCCTTTGAAGAATAAATTGTTACTAACCATCTTTTATCTTATGATGCAGGAAGAGACATTTATTAAGCGTTGCACTCGAACATGAGTATTTCCATAATTGTGTCACTCAAATAGTTGTGTAAGATGCTTAGAAGCATTACTGCAAACTGGAAACATGTTGTTCTCTATGTATTGCGGTTGAAGTGTATTTCACTTCTCTTAGCGCTTTCAGAATGAGTGAGTCGAAAGGTTCTACGATTCTTCTTTTTGATGTCGATGGCACTTTAACATTACCACGTCAGGTATGTTACATTATGGAAATGTTATGAGTTTTCAGATTTAATTAGACTTTTTTATTTGGACTTGAACTTGGTTACTCGATTTGTGCATCTTCCACTCATGTTGTGGTGGTGAGGCGATGTCGATCAGCTTTTCATTATTTCATTATGCCATTCTTCAGAAAATGGATCGAGCGATGAGCAATTTCTTGATGGAGGTGCACAAAGCAGTACCTTTAGGGATAGTGAGTGGCTCTGATCTACCAAAAATAGTCGAGCAGTTAGGAGAAAGCGTAGAAGATGGTAAAATATTGATGTATACAACTAGAAGAAAGTAAGAAGTTCGCGATCTATAAAACTAAGCGTACGTTAGTTCCACTCGATTAATCGGGTTTGTTAATATTCTTACGTGCATTCACCATTCTGCTTTGGTTTGCACGGTTGGTTTCAATATTAATAAATTCTTCCAACTTTTGATTCCACAGAATTTGTTATAGTTCTGAGTCGTTTTGATTACTTGTTCAGTGAAAATGGACTTGTGAGTGTCAGCAGTAAAGGGACCACGTTTCCTATGCAGGTTTTTTTTCTTCTACTTTCATATCAGATGCACACTAATTTGCTTGTTTCACTTTTTTTTAGAATCTGGTTACATTCCATATTGAACCTTAAATAATGATTCCATATCTTATTTCTGCTTTTTTTCATGGTTGCTTTTATCAATAAAATAAGCCCCGTGCAGCTGAAATTTGACTGTTGATCGTTTTTTTTTCTTTTGCAAACTGAAATTGAAATGTTTGCAGTCAATAAAGCATCATCTTGGTGAAAAGCAACTGCAAAAATTGATCAATTTTGCATTACGAGAATTTTCTGAGATGGATTTGCCTGCTAAACGTGGAAATTTCATTGAATTCCGAAATGCAAGTTTCGTTTACTCATTTTTTATAATTTTAATATTTTTGAAAAACCCTTTGAAAGGTTTCTATGACTAGTAGTTTTAATTTCCAGCAAGTGAGGAAAGGGAAGAAGGGAAAAAAGGAGAATTCACGGAAGACGTGGAATAAAGGAAATTTTGGCATTGTAATGCACCGTCTTGGATCTCAAGCGTTGCAGTAAAAAGGTTCTGAGATAAGAATACTACCTCATGTTGACAAGGACAAAGGTTTTAATATATGACAGCATCGAAAATCTTCTAGGATTTTCCCGATGCGCAATCTGTTTTTTTGAAAGAACTTGACATGTGAAAGCAGGAAATCGCGTGGGTTGTAGTCTCTCACTTCATTAACTGTATAGTGAGTTCCAATCGCATAAAAACTCGAATTTAGGGAATGTTAAATCTCTCACCAATAGGCCGATCCTGTACTCAAGAAGAGCGGCTGCAGTTCGTGGATTATGATAAAAAACACGATGTCCGTCAAAAATTTGTCAAGAAACTTCAAGATTTCACGGAAGGATGGGGCCTTAATGTTTGTATTGGTGAGTGATGATTTCATTTCTTTCTTTCATTCCACTCTTCAGTGATGTATCTTGCAGGTGGCCAAATCAGTGTTGACGTGTTTCCGTGTGGTTGGGACAAGACATATTGTTTGCAGTTCCTGAATGATTTTCACACAATTTACTTTTTTGGTGATAGGACTACGCCGGTTCGTCATTATTTCATGTATAATTCTACAGAGTCAATAAAAGATAGAACCTTTTACGCTTGCGTATAGTTGATTTTGTGCTTGTGCATATATTTCTCAAGTTTAGGGAGGTAATGACTACGATCTGTTTATTCATCCTAGAACAATTGGATATACCGTTAAAGACCCAGAAGACACGAGAAAACAAGTTAGAAAACTGTTGGAATCTCTTTGATAATTGCAATGGTCATTGCTTTACTGTCGTATTTACATAGTAAATGTTGAGTAATGAATCAGAGGAAGTACTGTTAATTTTACTCAAGTTAGTTTTTCCTTTCTATATTTTTTACGAGGTGAATAGTAAATAAATACGGCATCTGTAACGGGTCTCTTTTTTCTTTTAAAAAATTATAAAGCAAAACAAAGCTCCATTTATATTTCGCGGCATATAAGTATGATCAAGATGAAAAGTACTCAATTTCTACTTTAATGTATGTATACGAGTTTTATTTGTCCACTATAATCACTATCGTCATATCGCAAGTAATTTATCAGTGTGATAATTAATGTTTTGCAATAGTTGGTGGTCATGCAGAAAATGAAGGTGAACAGATCGTAAAGTCGAATTCAGTTAATGCAAATTATAAGGATTCAGAAGTTGAGAATCTTTACAAGGGCTGAACTAACGATGCAGTGGTCTGTAGAGAACTAGTGCGAGAATGTAATAAACATTATAACACCGATTCATACAGAAATATAACACCGATTCATACAGAAATATCACGAAAACAAGTACCTGCAGCAGCGAAACGGTCTTTACTGTGGTAGTGGAAAGTTGATTCCTTCAAGTTGCAAGGTGTTTATGTTGTATGTCAGTAACATCGAGAGGCGCTTCGAGCGCGATACCAGCGTTGAATTCTGAAAACATTTTTCTGCATGGTTATAAATTTTATTTTACAGGAATTTGATGGGGCTTTTACATTTCAAAACATCAGGAGGTCAAAAATTCTACAAGTTTTTTAAGTCACTATTCCATTGTTAGCTACTCCTCAATTTCTCCATTACCGGGCATGTAGGTTGAGATATATTGAAGTTGGAATGGGACTCAGTGGGTCGCGCAATGTCGTTTTACTTCAAGGTATAATTGATAATTTTGATGGATTTAATTAAGCAGGGTCGTAGAGAAATCCCATAAAAATAACGAGCCGTACATTCGTGCAGCCATATCTTGTATTTCACTGGCTAACAGTGCACCGTTCGTTTCTAAAAATGAGGCAAGAATATAGTTCTTGTTTTCTAAAGCTAATGATAATGTTGTTTGGTTGTCGGCAGCCGAATAGCAATTAATATTTGATGAATTCCTAAAATAAAAGCATACACAACTCTTCTGCTGTCTCATAAATGATGTTAACCTTTCCATAGAAGATGAAGATAGTAAACTTTATTTTGCGATGGGAAGTTTCCTTTCTTTTGCTCCATATACTGATCACAGCTATGATTAAAAATGAAAGAAAAACGGCTGACTTGAGCATTAAAATGATTGTAGACCAGCAACCCTGTTGTATTGCAACCATCAGAGGATCCCATCCACGATTATCTCTTATCAGGGGATCTGCCCCACACTTCAAATTGAATGTCATCACCAAATAAAGTTTTCAAAAAATGAGCAAAGGAATAACGAGTTTTCAAATAAGCTACAAATAGATTAAAAAAATTACTCTTAACAAATATCGTACGCATTGCACGGCGCTATGTTCAGTAGCGCGATGTAGTGGCGTTTGCCCCATGTCATTTCTCATATTTAACAAGGATGAATCCTTTAAATAATGCAAGAGCTGGCGAAGGGTTTCTTTCTTGCTATCCGAATCTGCCGCCATATGAAGAGCTGTGTTGTTGAACTAAATCAAAAATCTCTATTATCTCGTAATAATACCGTGCCGTACATAAACTTGTACTTCATGTTCAACACTTGAAAATTCACCCTGTCTTGACTGGAGTAATCAACACCAGCATGCAGAAAACGTCGTACAGCTTTTGCACTACCATTTTTTGCTGCCACTACAAGAGGAGTTTCGCCAAGCTTATTTCGCTTCTGAAAGTCTTAAATAAAGCTTAAATATATTGGCATGTCTTCTCTAATTTTGGCTAAACATATTGAAGTAATAATCATTGAAGCGAATAGACCGCTACCGCAAAGTAACGGAAGAATATTCTATACGAGTTTTCCTCGCAATTCTTATTAGCTGTAAAGCGAACGTACCTCAACATTCCATTTGAAGAACAATAACGTATTGATGACCTCAACATGGTCACCTGCAGCAGCTAAATGCAGTGCAGTGCAGCCTAGAGTGTCACAATCCTCCTGATTTATTACAGAGTTTGCATCGATCATGGTGCGTATCGACATATCCATACCATTCATTGCTGCCCACATAAGTGCACTGTGACCATTATTTGTACGAACTTCCTGAAGAAATTTTCATAAATGATTAACTTCTCATTACTGCAGATGCGGTATGAGAGTGAGATTTTCTGAACTAAGAAAATCTCTTGTTGAGATGTGAGTTTTGTATTTTACGATGGATATATATATAAACTTACATCAGTGAATTTATTGGCTTCGTACAAGAGCCTAAGTGTGGCACAAAATCCACGAATAGCAGCATAGTGCATCGGGGTTGCTCCGTAACTATCTTGTCTTGTTACTGATGCACCACATTCCAAAAGTAGCACGATTTGGCGTAATTTACCTCCAACCGCTGCATGATGCAGTGCTGTATGGAAATCCGAATCTATGGACTTCAACTGCTTATTTAACCACTGCTTAAAAAATTACTACAATATTTCGTTTTTGTCTGTGATTGTATAGTAAATAAAAATGCGCAAGCGTGCTTCTGCCATGATTTTCATAATCTGTAAAGCAATTGATTCATAAATTTTTCGTTGTAGTGTCATGAAACGATAATGTCAATTCAAATATGGCAAGCTTATTTGGAGTAAATGACGAACCAAAACATCTACATACCTTCTTACCACCTCTATAAACCAAAAGAGCCTTGGTAAGTGAAACTGCATCATTGATTACTGAACACATCAGCACTGTTTGTCCCAACACATTTCGCAAAAGGACCAATTCAGGACAGCATCTAAGAATTACCCTTGCCACCTCCAACTGTGCTAAATCAATTGGCAAATGAATTACAGGTCAATGAATCATCATAAAAAAATGCGTTCAAAAACAAACGTTAGTGAGAATCTGGCTTAGCAAACATAAGGAATTCAATTCCTTTCTATGCACTCTACTTAAATAAACTATATGAAATGAATTGGATTAAGTAATTTTGTGCAAAATATGGATCGAAGAACAGGTGCGATGAGAATCGACAAAGAAATTAAACCTTTATCACATTGAGGACATCTTTTTTCGAAGGTTTCAACCGTTGTGCACCCACCAAGTAAATACATTTTCAGATCTGTTGTTTCCAGCTTATTATTATGTTCCAGTAATGATTTAGTGAAACAAGCAAAACTGCATTTCATTGCCGCCATTTCATGAAGCACTATGCCCCTAAATAAATTAAGAAAACAAAAGAAAACTTACAATACTGTCAACTCTGCTAACATTACACAGCTGTATAGTGACGGGAAATATGGCATATTTCGATGTAACAAAAATATTTTACAAAAGCAGATTTTTTGTTTCTAACCGCCCAATTTGCCAGAAAAGCGACCGCCTCGATGCTTCCTTAAGAGCAATTGCAACGTCAGTTCTCTTCGTCGAATTATAGATCTTGTTAACGATTTTATTAAGATTATCAGTTAGTAACAAATTAGCAGCTTCCACATTGTTCCAAAGGCAGGCTACATGTATCGGTGTTTGATTGTCTTGATTGCACTGTTGCAGCATCTCTTCCACCACTATCCATCCAAAATATTTCATGATGTAGCTCAATATAATCTGCAAAGTACCGGCTAAAAATGAAATAATGAGTGTTTTGAAGTCATTGTGACACAAAGTTGATTTCTTTACAACATTGATATTTGAAAATTATGACTAATCATAATTTGGCATTCGCCAAAGAAGCCCAGTAAAAATGTCTCAATTGTACGGTTCGATTTCTAAAATTATGACAAACAATGGTTGGGTGATTATAATAACTATAGCATTGGTTTTAGGCATAAGATAAAGTTCTACGAATTGCAAGAACTCATTTCTCAACGAAAGGAGATAAACAACCGAATTTGGTATGACTACCTAAGAACTTACAAACAAAATATGCATTACCAACTTTTAAACAACGTTTTTTGCGTAATCTGCATGCCAAATGCAATAAACTATCGCCATTTAAGTCACGTTGCAATATGAATTTATACGACGTTCCATAATTTTTCTTCATATTATCCTGAAAACAAAATGTTTAAGTTGAAGGTTCTAAAAAATCGGAAGTCTCAATCTTATAATATCAGATAAAGGCACGGCAAAAATAAAAGAAATTGGACATGAAAATTTACATACCGTCTTTTCTTGTTCAAAAGAAACTTTTAAAAACAACTTCAAGCAATTTGCAGCACCATTGCAAGCAGCAGTATGGAGTACGGAACGACCCTTTATAGTAATAAGTAGGAGATTAGCACCAAGACTATAAAAAGTTATGACTAAGAATATATCGATTGATAATTCAAAGACTTCAGTCATCTTAAATAGATTATAAACTAGTTTTTAGATTGTGACTGAAAAATAAGGAACTAAAGGTCAATACATATGCATACCTCAACAACAGCCGAGCAACAGCAACATGATCGTTTGCAGTAGCCCAATGCAGTAAAGTTATGCCTTGTAAATTTGAAGAATTAACAGATACTTTCAAAATGTTGATCAAGTATAGCAATTGCAGTGAATCTCCAGAAATTGCTGAACGTACTGCGGAAAAATGATTCTGAAATCTCGTCGTCACGTTTGATCATCTGTATGAATTCCATCTTCTGTGGATTGTGGATTTAGAAAAAGCGAACACTGTACTAAAAGTTCACCGCATGCACCACATGTAGAATGAGACAAAACGTATTTGTTTTATGATTTATAACCCAAAACCGACAAATATGCGGTATAGAGATGAAAGGCACTAATAGGAAGTGTGATATGCAATGCATCTTTTCTGTGACAATAATTAACAAACATTAGTATCGATATGGAGTTAAAATTGGAAGAATTTGACTGAATCATAGCAGGTGGTCCTTGCATATCTTTACTATTCTTCATTTGTACAGTATTTTTGATATTCAGATAGTGCTGACAACTCTAAATCTATTATCAATATTCTTTGAAGATATACATTGAAGTGAGCCTGAGAACTAATGGTTGCAACATTTGCGCCTCCAAGAAAAAATACCACAGCACATAAAAAATAAGTGTTCAATAGCTCAAACTATATTGCTCTTCATTTCACGGTGGTTGATTTCAGCGATTGAAATAGAATTTGTAAGCGAAAATTTTTCGAAAAACTGACCACATCAACTGAAGTTTCTTGACTAATGGGAGAGCAAGAACTTTCATCACTTGACGAGCTTAGCTTAGGGACTCTGAAATAAACTTTGTATGCATCTTCTCGGAATATCAATGGTTGTTCCTATTCTGGAAGAATCAAGAGGTACATGAATATACCAAACTTTTTTTTGCTCTTTATATTCTTCTTTTATTATTTTGGGTCCTCTTCCAACTTTTTATAGATCTGCCACACAATTCCTGATCCTTAGGTCCAGACAGTAAGGCAAGTATATCTTATAATTCGTATTCACGCAGAAGCTGCAAATAATAGTGTTGCACCTGCAGAATTCCCGGCACAGATTTTCAGTGCTTGGAATAAAGCGAACTTTCAACAGGCGTGCGCCATCATCATTATCTCGTTCTGAATTATTTACACCAAGTATGTTAAATTTATAGGGACGAACTTCGGTATGATACAAACCAAAGATAGAGCGACTCAGAATATTCTCCTTCCTGTTCATTGCTGAAAAGACAAGACTATAACAGTCGAAGCCACTTCTACAATGAAAACTGGCAAGCGAAATAATGCATGAGAACTTCGACTTTATCCACACTAATAACTTTATAAAGTTATTGTATGAATCCTTTAAATTTAGTCTGATCTTTTTTTTTTCTTCTCTCGTTTGAAATTTGCAATTCAGAGTCTAGTAATAAAATGCTTATCTGGAAATGGTAAAATAATTAAGATCAGACGCTCTTCTCATCTACCCTCTGCACTTCCAGAGAAATGAGGGTGCATTTCTAAATCAAAACTAGGGTATCCTCATACATTTGCAACAGGTGTTTTAAATATCAGGCAGTTAGCTTATTAGCTGGGCATACTTCTCGCACTATGAGCTCATGAAATCTTAGACAAACCTAATACGACTAAGGTAAACGTATGTAGTTAAAGGAAGGAGAGATCGCAACGTTAAGCGTTTGGCTGTGGTTGTGTAATATCAGTTAAGAAAACGACATCTTATTACCTGTAGACCATAAATGGGGGCAATCCACAAATCTCATAATAAAACATGACTTTATTGCTCTACAAACTAATACCACTTACATCACTTCCCGCCTACCATGACTTCATTGCCTCATTTTTCTTGACTTGGACTAGATAAGGAATCGGGCTTTCACTGTTGCGCCGTTGATGCCCTTCGTAATTTTCACCATATTCTCATACCACCGCAAGTGTTTTCTACCTGACTCTAAGTGTGGGAAAATGCCATGCCCTGAAAATGTATTGCGTGATATAAATCCTGTGCTGGAACAATATTGAGTTCATGACATGCAAATGAAGGTAAACTCCATCTGGTTTTCTTTTAGCTCGTATCATTCAATTTATCGATGTTTTCAAACTAAAATAGTTCAAAATATTATGCAGTGTGACAATCGATAAATCAACAGTCTATCTGCCATTTCGTACAGAAGCTTCCTTCCTTTTTAACCGTATTGTTAAATGTATCAAAAAATGATGTTAACCAATATCAAACGAAGGTTAAGATCACTGATCGGTCGGATATTATCAAAAGTGTGCTCATCCGCTATATCGCTCAACAGCTGTTATCTGATCATCGAAAAATCTTACTGGATTGAAATGAACCCTTGAAATATTACAAGTACTAGATTTGTGTTTAACAAAGTAAAGTGGACTAGGCTATGCTCAACATTTTCTGCAGAGCTACCTTTGCTTGGCAATTTGAATCACATTAGGGCCATCGACAGGATCAGGTGGAGTTCAACTTACATGGATGACAATCTCCTTTAGGCATATTCTACAGCCAATAAATTTGCAGTGAAAGATCTGATGACTCTATTTTTTAGAGCGGAAGACTTCCTGCAAATGCAACATTTCGGTTTTTCACTATTTTCAACTCATTAACAATTTTTAAAACAAGGAAAAAAACTTGGTGAGTCACAATTCATTCTTATGTTAAGTGATTGACAGATTTTAAAACACTTACACAATTGGGAGCTTTAAAAAATTTATTTCGAAATTCCATTCTTTCGATGGAAAGGCGAAAGACAAGAATCGTATCAACGAACTGACCAGTAGATTTTGGCTTTAAAATCCCATGCAATAATAAATTATGATTCGAATTGGGTAAATATGCATATGAAAAGAATAGTAATGTCCTTCCAAGAGCTCAAAGGCTTCCAAACAGACGCTATAATTATTCAGTACAATCAAATCCTGCATTCGCATTGACTTCCATTGTTCATGTTAATGACTAACTGCTACATTTCCCATGGAAATGAATACTGATCAAGCTATTTTTGAATAATATTGAGCGTTAAACGGAAAATTTTCTGTCTGTTACCAGTCATGCCAACATCGTATTTGATGTACAGGTTTTGAAGTGATAAAATAAGCCAAAGTACACTCCGAAACATACTATGGTCCATCACAACAACCCGACAATTCGCACCATTAACAAACAGTTCTTTCGGTATCAGCTTCAGCTGATTGAGGACGGATGATCAGAAAACGTAGCACAATTGCTGGAATCTGCAGATTCAAAAATTGGAAAACCAGGTCATTCTAATGAAGGACTCACAGGATCGACAAACGAAAGGTCTGGTCAAAGCGTAGACCTATAGTTCCATTGCTCACTTCGCACAATAACCACTTAAAACTTTGTAACCTTACCATTCCCTAATTCTACTTTAGCAACCAGTACCTACTAATTTCCACTTAATTCTACTGACCCTACCAAAACTCTTTAGTAAAGATGCTCAATTGCAAATGCAAAACTGCATAGAAGCCCTTCCTCAGCCAACTTCGCTAAGCATTACAATCAAAGCCCATATGACTGAAATGCAAATTGATGCTTTATGATGTGTATTGCTGCAGCGTCACAAATTAAAATGCATCGCCCCTAAACCGGGTAGAACTGAAAAAACTCGAAAACACATTGTCGCATTTCCGTAACACCAAATCTTAGCATATTACATAAAACAGAAATATTTTGTTAAACACAAAGATAAATTCTGATTCAAACAGACATGATATTATCTAATTCTTTGAGTAATATTTACTATTTGTTGTACGACGTTCAAAACTGAGTATTATTCATTTATCACTTATGTCGCGATCACAGTAACAATGCATCTTGAATGGCATTTTTATCTAGCTGAGGTGGTGCGCTCCGAACAACGCAGGACAGTAACAATGACAGTGATAATGCGTTTTAATGATATCTCAAAATAAATAAAATAAACATGAAGTGGAGAAACTTCACATTTGTACAAAATACAAATTATTCAAATGTTATCTCTTTGTAATGGTAGCAATAAAGTATGAGAAAATGATGGCAATATTTAAGATATAGCAGAATCAACAATAATGTGCTACTGCAAAATCAACTGCATAAGAGGGACGTAGAAGTACATGCAGAGGCACACGTACAAAAAACTTACAGAGCTAAAAGCAAATTAAAAAATTTAGCACCAAAAGATAGACACTCAAACGAAAGCGAATTACCAACCCAGTAAAAAGCCGTCGAATACAAAGAGAGACTTTCAATTGAAAGATTCAAAACAAATATGAAAGCATCGCCCGAAACAATTTATAACTCAGGTCAAAAAATATGCAGAAGTTAGACTCAAGACGGGCTTCCACAAGCATCCATCAGCGCAGTGAATAACAACACACAGATCAAAATCAGGTAAATGAAGCAGGCACAGGTGCATCTATTATATATCGACAAATAATTCCACCTTTCATAAATTATTCCAACTTGTGAACTGAACTTCTGAACAACATATTACAAGTCTGATCACATCAGTGAAACATCATTCAGCCTTAGAACATCCCAAGAACATATTAATAAATTATAAAATTCAGTTAACGACAAAAGATAGCTAAGAACTGTACAAGTTAATTAATCATAGTGCGAGTGGAGGAGAACTACATTTATACAGCAAGCAATGTATAAACATTTTATGGATAAATACAGCAGGAAATTTAATCGTATTGACATATATAGAAAAACTTAAAGAATGACATGGGAAAGTATGAATATAAATCATTAAAACATACCGGGATTTCTTTGCAATATTATGTTGTGTACTTCGAGATATTCCATAAAAGAAAAAATGAACAATACATCCGGCAACTTAAACATTTGATCAAGAGCCACCCCTGACACGGTTGAATAATAAAGACAATTCTTTGTAGTTTAGTTTTCCATAATCTGCAATAATCCATCATGACTCGCATGATGAAATATTAAAATACCAACAGTAATCAGGAAACAAATTTACAGATCACATTTTACTTACTAACACCTCTGCAATATTTACTATTTAAGTAGTATTTCATAAACAAAGCATTTGAATCAGTTAAACATATGCTTTCGTGCGTTATGTCGAACTGTTTTTTTTTGCGTATGCAAAACTGATTAACTTGAGGCGAAATTAATGGGACAATGCGGCAACACAAAAATACTTACTAGCTATGAAAAATTATTGTACAACTGAAAAATTACTGTACAACCTAAACAGTAAATAAATTCATTGTATTCCGATAACTTGAGAAGTGAAATAGAAGAAAAGCGAAGATGAAGTATATGAGAAGTCACCTCTGAAATTCAGCGGACAAAATTTTGTTTCTTCCTTCCAGTCTGTGAAGTTTCATTGGATACTGATGAAGTTATATAAGGAAACGTAGAAATGGAAAGAAATAACCAATTTTAAAAAGAAAAACTGATAAAAGACACTGAGAATTTTTTAGAAAGATTCAGCGAGTGAGAGATTTATAGATGATGGAAAGAACAGATGCAACATTAACCAAAGATTTAAAATGAAAGATAGCCATACGATAGAGACGAAGTTATGACTTGTAAATTTTGATGACATCTTCGATCTTCTTGCGACATATCGGGCACTCCCCATTCAAGTGCCATGTTTCCGTTGCGCATTCGAAACACATCGACATGTGCCCACATGTGTAGATCACAGAATTTACCTGAGATCAAATAAATTATAAATGATTCCAGCACATGACCGGTAAGCGACAAAATTTTTAAGCAGACCTTTAAATGTAAGAAATCATAGGAAATTAACCAATCCAGATAAAACTAACCTAAATACTAAATCATTCCTTGCATTCACCGCAGCAGTGAAGATATTGTTTTTTTTTTTTTTAATGTGATGCTCTGAGATCAACATTAATGATTCCGCAGAAAAAACTTACTTTAGAGTTCATACAGATTCTACATTCATCGCCAATTTCACCATCATCATCACCGGATCGTTGCTGATGAGTTGCTGTTTGTGTAGATAGTGGTAGACGCGATGAAGAATGTAAAGGTGGCCTTCCCGACAGAAGCCGCACAGGAGATACCCTTCAAGGTACACATTAAATTCTAACTCCTGACTTCCACATACTTTCAAACCAATAAACGAAAGCATAATTATCGATTGAATCAAACATATACCTGGCTGGCACCGGAGGTGGTGGGAATTGCGATCGATGAGATATGTTGGATTCACTACCATGAAGTCCGTGAATGTTATCCAAATTTTCCAAGAAGTCGATGAAATGCTCTCCACTCATGAATATCGGTCTCGAAGGCCTAGCTACAGTAGGCATTGATGTAGGTACTCTCCTTTCTCCTTCTGAATACTGATAAATTTAAATTTGTACCGACTTCTTTACTCTTCTTCACCTGCATTTGCAACCAAAACACTTGGCTCTTAAAAACTTGCAGAACGATAATTAAAGAAATTACGTGAAGAACATGGCATACGTAAAAACACTCCATTCACACTGTCACCAGTTTCTGACTGCGTTCGTCTGGATAAAAGAGGAGGACAGTCTTCATGATTTGGATGCGCGAGATATGTGCTCGTTGTCGGAAAAACAGATCTGAGAAATATACAGTTAAAAGAAACTATTACACAAATTTTTACGGCAACTAGTATTTCGGCTGATTCGAAATATTGCATAACTAATAACTTGGAAAAAATCTACTGATCTGACAAAACTTACACTTCACTGCTTGGTCTCCCAGCATCTGTTCTTGTTTCAGGAGATAAGTCAAGCAAACTACGAGAGGTTCTTGTGATTGCTGTAGTTGGCGGTAAACATTGCGCTGTGATTTGAGACGCTGCTATTACTTTAACACTTCCTATAGAAAAACAAAAAATTTTTACTTGGTGAAAACCATTTTGAAATCTTACACATGACTTTGGTCGGTAACGCAAATGGTCTCGGTAATCATGACGAAGCATTCTTTATTAATTATACATGAAACCATAACTTTTTAATGATAATAATACATAATTTTTACGAAACTCAACAAAATTTTAACAGCGAACACTAAACTGAAGCTTCCTAATACCTTTTAAAATCAAAAATTACCTAACACGCGTATTTTCTGAGTCGTGCCGTAAACGTCAAAATATGCCCACAGCCTTACAGACGTATCCACATGAATAATGACGCGAGATGCGAGATTGTTCTTCGCAAAATACACCTCGCCTAAACAGTATTACAACAAAATAAGGATTCTATAAAATATTATAAAATATCCTTAAAAAAAACTTTAATGCTGCAAAAAATAAACATACCTTTTTCAGTAATCCAAAACGATAATTCATCACTAATTTTAGGTTGCGCAGCTACATCTTTGATACCAACCCAATATTCCGGCCTTTCTAAAAGATCATCACTATCCACGGGCAGTGTCGAACCTTGTAAATTAACCGGATCACAGCAAGTCAATCCGAAAGCCATACTACCAGTATAAGCTGACTCTATATCCAGTACCTGAAAACAAAACCAAATGTGAACAAGAATCTCAAAATATGCTTAAAACCTGCCTTAAACTAAAATTTTTTCCACAAATATCCCGAAAATGCACTGTTTACTTATAATAAAATTCAAATAATTTTTCCATTTCAAATGCGACCTGAATCACGATTTTTTCATTTAATGCAAGAGGTCTGGATGTGAAAACATAACCACAGGCATATTCACCAGCGTGTCTTTCAGCAACAGTATAAGCATGAGTCAAAGCAACATGTTTTCCACGTACAGTATGAAAAGTTAATGGTGTAAACTGTATACCTGAAAAATTTATTTTGATATTAATGTAACAAAATGTGAAGCTTTTATTAATCTATCTGGAACGATACACAGATCTTGCCTGCATGATATTTTGAAGGAGGCAAATTTGGCCGCGAATTTGAATTGTTTCTGGGATGCCGATGATGTGTCGCAGTGCTCGTTGTTGCAATTTGCGTTTGCGGAACTGATGTTGTTGAAAGAGGGCGACTGCCTGCACGATTCCTACTCACTGTTGACCGCGTTGACCGGAACCTGACTTCATTCGGGTCTGCAAAGTAAGTGAACATAATGACATATAACGGCACTGATTGCAATGCCCCAATAGTAACGAAGTTTATCGACACGGAATCTCTCGAATATTATATTCAAAAAGATCAGCAAATAATCCAGTAGACATTATGCAGCGCTCATAAACCTATACTAAATAAATCCAAGAACATGAAAAATCGAGTAAGTTCACGGCTTATTTTTTTGATAGAGACACAACGACTAAGATAAAATAATGATCAATTGGTTCAGCTAACTGAATTACAGCCAAGTTCATCATACAAATGACAGGACAATGGCCCGCTAGGGAACAGTGTTTTGAAATAGATTTTGTACAGCAATCACTCTTTGAAAAAGTATTTACCAATGAATTCAAGTGAGGAACTATTTCCATATATATCAACAATAACCCATAAGGGCGAGAATACGTTGATTCCATTCAGAAACTGTCCTTTCAAAACACCATTTATTCCGTAATAAAGTTCACCCTCAGCGTTCACATAAAAATGCAGAATTGATCCAGCGACAGAGTAACGTTCAGGTAATGCTTTTGCCCAATAGCCTTCTTTACTTGTTAAATCTGGACATGCAAACCTAGAAAATTGAATATTATATACTATAAGCAAATGTAAACACTGAAAAATGGAGTTATAAAGTGTCACATAAAACTACAGGAAATTCTTACTTCGGTAGTTCGATCCCACGAAAAGTTTCTGGATCAACATTTGTAACACCAAAGCGCAAGACACCAGACCAATTTGAAACAACTTCAGCAAATCGAATGCAAACATTCTCATCGATCTGTATTGGCCTGTAAAACTTGATTCCATTACTGCTGTCCTGAATAAAAAGTGACTTAAACACTTTACGTTCAAATGAGAAAAAACTTCAACATCTGGAAAATTAAACTTTGCACGACATATTTAAAGAATAATAAGGTCTCCAAACCACAAAAAAAGTGCCTGACAAGAAGCCTCGATCTACTGTATATAAAAATGATGCACCGCTACGACTAAACAAAATGCCCATGAAATTATATTCAACTGAAGTGGAGTGGGGGTGTTCAACAGCAGATGTAGCCTATTTAACCGTACAAGCCACAAGATAAAGATTCATTCATCTCACATCTTCTAACATCGAACCTGCCCTATAAATTGGCAGAATCGGGAAACAAAATAAAGACATCCTTAAATGACATTTTTTGACAGTAGTAAGAATCAAAGATTTCAATCGCGGTTCTTCTGAGTATTTTGTGCTGCACGTACGCAAAAAAATACCACACATTTCTCGTCCTCTTGTGCGAGTCAATTTTTTTTTTGACTACTGTCAATCACTTTTTTGCAAACAACGTCGACATCATGAAAGGATTTTATTGCTTAAATTCAGAGTTTAATTCTTATTGAACAATTGAAAAACTTTTTACCGACTGCTGAAGGCAAGTCCTTTACAGAAAGATTCTCTTCGTCTTGCGACTCGGCCTCCTCGTAAAATTTGTATATTAGAACCATGTACGTGATGGAAAGTGAGCTGAGGCAAAGGCCATTCCGATGTGCCTTGATTCACGACTGTATTCTCATCGTAATTCGCAATTTGCAACCCGTCGTCAGGAACCGACTCTAGAAAGAAAAAGCTAAGGTTGTTTTCAAGCACTAGCTAGAAAATAACATATTTAGTTTCATTTCCTTCTGTATCCAGTAGTCACCAGTTTCATATATTCGTGAAATATTCCGCAAGCTAATTTTCTATATATTTCAATCTTACTAATATATAAAACTTTCAAACCTCATTAAAACATGTGAGCGTGATAAATTAAATTTCTGACTGAAGCATGCTATCAAATGTAAAAAGTTCATCATAACTAATCTCAATTTCATGGAAATTTTCCTTGTAAAACGTCGATTTTTACAATTCTTAGCAGCATTTGGAAACTTATCATGAATCTAATAAAGGTTTGTTATTAGTATAGAAAGAAATGCGTCTCATGAGAGAAAATAAACTTGCATTAAAGAACACACCAACACACAAAATTAAGCCGAATCTCATGATGTGCTGAATCTCATGAAAAGTAAGATTTTTTTTTTTCTGTGTATATAAATATTCCCTGCGACGATATAATGGTACAAGTAAGCTTCAGCAACATGATGGATACAAGAAAGCCGTTGTCCACAGTTTGGGATAAGGTTTGCTTCCCCAAAAAATATATTATTTGGAAAATGAGATATATATTGCGTAATTACAGCAACAAATATAATACCATACACAGTCCTTCCTGCATACTACTCAGCAGCTTATTTAGAAAAAAAGCAAACAATTACCAGCGGAAGCTGATCTCCCCATCTCATCCTTCATACTATTTTCTTGCATGAGGATAACCTCACACCTTTGTTTATTGCATAGTCAGCACTAATCAAATTCACAACATTCATCTCCGTCTCTAAAACTAGCCGCCCATACTACAGCCTAAATATTAAACTTAATTTTTCTCTTCTTCACAACACGAATAAGTTTCGTATCTCACTGCATTCGATCACGCTTGAGGCCCTTTAAAGGAAAAACTTACCAATTTCCAGTGACCCTCAGCAACAGCTTTTGCTTAAAAGACACTCGACAAAACAACTGGGTTAACTGGACATCTGGACTCAGAAAATACCCGATGGCAATAAATTGGCAACACTTTTTAACAATAAAAAATTTGGTACAGAAACAGGGAGAAAAGTATCTAATTACATCTGCAAGCAAGAAAAAATTTGACCGCTTTATTCAATTCACATTTGCATAATGCTAAGCCAAAACTGTAAAAAATACCAAAATCGTGGAAAACATTGTTTTAATTCATTAGTAGAAGAAAATCAATCTAATGCTCAATGTAGAACTCCAGAGTGCATATTCGAAGTCTGCAGAATGACATAACTATAAACAGCACTTAAGCAGTAAATCTTAGTCATACGTTTATGATATTTCAAGTGAGCAAATTTATATATTGAAGAAAACAATACCTTTCTTTTAAGATCTTGGAAAAATTAATGCATTGTTAGCAAAATAAGCCTTGCATTTTAATTATACACCTGCCCAGCAACTGCTAAACTTTGCAACATACGGTTTTGACTGGTGCAAGAATTTTCCAACAGTAGAACGTGCACCCAACCAATACCGATGATATTCTCGAGAATATAAAATCTCAAAATCAGGAGAAAATGTTACCGAATAAAGAAGAAACATTGAAAAAATATGTAAGAGCTGACTGGTGAAATTTATAAGAGGACACACCTTTGAATTTACTTCGAATGTCAGCACTCTTTTTGAAGAGTCTTTTCAAAGTTCCACAGTCTCCAAATTCATTAGGTTCACTTGGAGTCGTATCGTCTAATGATTCTGATACAACGATCTCAGATGGTCCAGCACTGGATATCGTACCATTGGACGCGTTTTTAAGCAAACCGTCTCGATCGGAAGTCATTTGTGTTCCGAAAAAAAAAATCCGCAGCGAGGGGTTTAACGCTTCACAAAAATATACCATGTGAGTAGAGAGGCACAAGAATATAAGCTACTACCTTCATCCGGTCACAACCAAGGCAATTAACTGTTTGATACTCATCACCACGTGCCACTTCAAACGTTTACTTAACTGCTTATTTGCCAGTAATATCATACATCTAATAACACGATTCTTTTCATGAAACATATTAAGCTTAATTTTTCAAGTATGTTTATCGTATGTTTTCACCGGAAATATTTTGACCGCGTTATAAAAGTCATATATTTGACAATTAATGTATTTGCTCAAACTGAGAATAATTCTGATGGTTACAACAATTAATTTTTATCTAACAATACCTACATTTGTTTCTAATTTTATTTAAAATTTTTTGCAGTTATGTAATAAAAACTATTCATTTCTTAGTATTGCAAAATAAAAAGAACAAGCAACAACTTCTACACATTCATCTCATCATTGATTCTGAACAGAGACTAGTGCTGTAAAAAAACTGCAGACCCAGAAATGGTGCTTGCATTGTGCATTCGTACTATAAGGGGAATTGCAGGCGTCGCAGAAGACAAAACATTGACCCGCTTAATCAAGCAACATTTTTTCCTCCTTCCAATTACACCCATCACAGTACCCTACTTTAAGAATAGAATATTCCTTAAAGCTGCAATGAATAACTACTGATGTCACAGAAAAAAAATTGCTTGATATGTGTCAACATCAAGCCAAAGACTTGAATCGACAATTCCTCAAAAATTTTTTCTTCAATGATTTATTTTTAATGCGGACTTGAAGGATACAATACGAGTTATTGGAATTTGCTTAATTAGTCTCAGGAAAGAACAAAATTATCAAAAAAAATGGTAAAAGAGTGTAATTATTTTTCCAATATATGCCTATATCAGTGATCGTATTACAAGATCGACTTTCACCACAAGGAATTTTCATTGTGTTTCAACGCTTTTACCAACCGCAAATTTTTAAACACTAAAAGCTTATGAAAAAGGGAGTTAGCGTATCAGTTTAATATCAGCACCTCTGAAGAATGTTCAACAAACGAGAAATGGTATATGGAAGGGTCTTTGAAATGAACTTTGATTTACTACTCAAGTGATCGAAGGGACAACTCTGAGCTTCAACTTTTAACTAATGATGTGAAGAATCTATAATAGTGTAAGGTAATTAGAATAACTTTTGTAGGGTTTTCAAAAAGGTTACTGTCGATGTGATACAACATACTGACTGCATGTTAAGCTAGATGCACCGGCAAAATGAAGAAAGAGCCCTCTCAGAGTCGGTAAAAGAGATGCAAAACAAGTGGTTCTGCATCAGATAATAAGTGAAAAAATAGCGCAAACACAAATATTGGTAAAAAGAGGCATAAGTTAGGATAAAAAAGCATTGAATGAGACGATGTCAGCAGGAAGACCCATCTCATCCAGTTCCTAGATCAGTTCGTGTGTTTCGAGCAGCACGAAAAGCTTTTATCAGGGAGAGTTACACCTCTTGCAATGAAGAGAGCAAAGAAAACGAGATGAGGAAAGAGGTCCACTAGATGAACCACTTCTCATTTTGTTACTTCATCTCAAACGCCCACAACCACCTCTGTTACTCTGATAATTTCGCATCAACCTCACCTAGTTTCTCTGATAAAGATGACAAAGCAGATGAGAACGGCAAGAATGAATAGAACTGCGTAGCAAAAAATACTTAAACCAACATTTTTCCTCATAAACTGAACAACAAAGTGAGTGTTGCTTTATTTAGCACTCTTTTGAACTCTATTATCAATAACAACTACACATTATCAAGCAAACCAGTTTTAAGCAGAAAAATTATTCGTTCTGGAACAGCTTGAAAGCTAATAATCTGCTTACTTTTTGACGACGACCGGTAAAAACAATAAGAGAAATACCTGAAAATGAAGGAAAACATTTGAAGGAAAAAAAATGAAAGTATGATGAGAAACTTGAGTGGACGTCTATAAAAAGGACTTCCATAACTTCCGCGAAAACGCAAGTTGGTTCTAAAACTAGCTAAGTTTACAGCAAGAATTGCCAGAGAATTATTGTAAGAGTCATAGTTAACAAAAAGAATTTCAAAAAATATATACTATTTAATTTTTCTCACGGAAACTTAGAGACTATAGAAAAACACAACAGACACAAAATTTTATGTTTTCTGTACAAGAAGTTATCTCCACTAGTCGCTAGTAATGATTCCAAGTGCCAGAGAAAAGAAACAATGGGTGTTTATATGACTAATAATTAGGTGTAATGAATGATTTTAAAAAAGTTGGAAGTTTAACCTAAAATTACTAAAATTCTCCAAAAAATGAAATACATGGTTAAAGACAATTGAGAAACTTGTGGAAAATTCTCACCGTGTTTTTAAGAAAGCAAAACCTCTTGATTTAATTTACAACTGATACAACTGTTTTGATCATGTATATAAGAAATTGTTGATGGATGTATAAAGTATAAAAGTGTAGTGCGAAGAATGGCTTTTCAACAGTGATATCACGAAGCGGTTTACCATCTTCCAAAATTGCTTTAGACGAAAAAAATTGAAGTAAAAAGGCTACATGAAGCTATTTTCATGAATCTCTGAATCTGCTTTTTATGAATCTGTTTTAATCATGAATCTCTCTACACAGAAAAAAAAAGTGCTTTCATTCAGCATTGCGTAAACTGTCTCACATTTAATCATTTGTGAGTGCCTGATAATAGGTTATTAGTAATAGGTCATTTATCACAAGAGCTTTATGAAATCAGACAGTGATGTGAGACAAATTCAGAAAGCAACAAAATGAAGTCAAAACTGAAACTAACCTCCTCTAAGATTATTCCCCATGTGATCGCTTTCACTTGGCGATCAATGGCTCCTATAGTTTCTGAAAAATACATAAGAGGATACAAAAAAAAACAAAATACTAGAATATAAATGCATCAATCCCATGACCTAGCGTACACCCTATTAGATAATGGTAAACAATGTATAATATCGCATGTATTGTAAAAATAGGGAGTCACTTTCTGTACTTGTATAGATCTTTTAAAATTAAAAGATAGTTCCTTGCTAGATGGCTTGCCCGTTTTGTGAATGTAACAGAAACTTTTCAATGCCTTGGCACTTATGCTGCAACACACTGCAACGTGCAATAAGGCCCTCGTACCAGTTTTCAGCTGGACTGCAGTCAACTTTAATGATGAATTTGGGATGTATGGTCATTTCGAAAACCCACATCCAAATGTCCCGTTCAGGAGTTCCACATGTCAACGCCGATTATTTAATTCCTTTTTAACTTATTCGTTTGGAACCACTGTAATGATAAATATTACTGGAAGTCAGCATTTGAAACAAGAAGTAACAAAACGAACAATCAACCATCCTGACTATTTTATTTCATCAAGTCAGTGCCTCGGAAACAGCGAATTTATTATGTCTAATACGTTAGATTAGTTTATCACAACAGTATATGAAATTTATCTTTAAACATTTCATTGCTTCCTCTAAACTGATATATATATTTTCCAGATAAGAAACCACTTAGACTGTACAAATCACGATTGAAACTGAGGAGAATGATCGTTTTTCTAACACGGTTAAAGAGATAATTGTTGGTCATGCATTATCCGCTACCACAATTTTGCATCAGTCAGAAGCTTGCTTCTCTTTGTCGGTGTTAATGATGTATTATGGGATGCCCTGACGCTAATGCTAAAAGATGTGAGAGTGCAAAAATCTTTGCAGTTACAAGGTTTTCCCTTCTATTTTTTTCCTGACCTTTCCAGAAGCGCTCTTCGACAACTTCACCAAAAGGAGTGATGAGCATGCAAAACACAGCAGGATATCAGTAAAAATGAGAGAACTTGGAAAAGAAATATAATATTCGAAGACCTTTGATCTCCCTGTATATATCATCGCCCATGTATCAGCTGGGAAAAGATCCTTAAATTATAAAATGTCTGCGATTAGCTGAGCATAAGAAAAGCCAATTGGCGCCTCAGCACAAAGCACAACATAAAAGCATTCTCTTTTTCTCCTCCCACCCGCCTTCCTGGTATCCAGTCTGCATCCTCAGCATCTTGCGACACCACCTCAACCCACCACCGGACATTTGTTGAGCCTCAGCGATAATCTCCGTACCGAATGCATCGACCGCAAAGGGCCACAGTGAAAATGCCGTCCCCAGCAATTTCCCTCATTAGGTTAGTGGTGGCTAGTAGTGTGACAGGTGAGAGGATAAGGGCAGTGGGCGTGAAGTTGTTGTCATTGCTATATTATTCATGTTTTTGGCTTGCCTTGGAAATGGGATAGTGAAATTTTGTTACTTTCTACGGGCGATTATATACCAAAATTGACATTCAGAAGATGGCATTTCATCAGAAACCTAAGAATTGTTAAATTTTGAGTTATGAATGATAAAATAATTATCAGTATGTTCTGTTCAACACTCACCCTTCCTTTACGTTTCTTTTTCTGATTGCCCTGTCCAATATTTTGAGTGTTAAATCCCATACATACTGGAAAATGGTGCAAGTCCCAGTTGTTCCGGTCAAAACTCCTAATGTTAATCGAAGTAGTAATTATGTCGTTCCATTTTCATCATTTTTTTGTATTACTCACTTCTCAGCATACTAGTACCCATAATTCCTTAGTCTTTAACTCCATTTTCTTTTTTCGTAGCAAGAGGTAGCTCAAAGACCATGTCTCACCGTTCAACATCAAAAATCGGCTACATCAAGGTTACTGTTATTAGATTCAGTTAGGAACTTTTTTCTACTCATTTTCTTGATTGTAGCGGATTTGTTCACATTCCCCGCTTTCTATGGTCACATTACGCTAACGCCTGAAAGGAAGTCCAAAAATGTCACGGGTTGTCTGAATTAACGTAATTGCTTTGGAAAAAGACAGACGGAGGAGGAGGATGGGGTCGAACAGAGGAAGAGATATATAATGAGTAGTTT